TCCTTTACCCATCATTGTATTCATGATGCAATGGAAAAGCAAATATTATTTCTTATAATATCTTCCCAGGGGACCTATTACAGCTGTGGTTATGTTTCCATTTATTGAGTAATCATTACATTCCAGGCACTGGGCTAGGTTATTTATATTCAGCATCTTATTTAGTCCTCATAAGGACCTTGCAAACTCTGTGTCATTCACTTCATCTTCTATGTAAAGAAAATGAGACTCAGAAAGGAACACACTGGTCTCAAAGTCATTAAGCTCTTTACCTGCAGAGCCAGGACTAGAATCTAGAATGTCCTTCCTTCCTTTCTTCTTTTCTTTCTTCTACATCAAAGTCCTTGTACACATTTTCACCACTTATGTGGCTAACCAGCAGGGTAAAAACCCATGAATATTACCTTCATTAAAAAAGTTAGGTATTTTCCCCTCAAATTATGTATTTTGTCACCAGCATCATGGATTCTCTGTGACATAGACTGGTTGGCTTTATACAACAATAATTTTAAAAAACCTATGATTTTATGATGTATAATGTGTATTTGGTCTTAGTTCCCATTTCTGTCACAGCTCTCCTAAAACCCTTGAAATTTCCTAAGTGTTGAGAGCAATAAGGATGCCTTTTGTTATGTTAATGAGGTGACCTTTGGAACACACCTAAGGAAGGCAGCTGGCTGTCTGGAAAGCCAACCATGTGATTAGAAGGTTGGAACTTTCAGTCCTACTTCTCCTCACCACCTCCAAGGGGAAGAGGGGCTGGAGATTGAGCCAGTTGCCAAATGTCCAGTGTCTTAATCAATCATGCCTGTGTAATAAAGCTTCCATACAAGTCCAAAGGAGGTGGTTCAGAGGGCTTCCAGGTTGATGTACCCATTGGGGAGAGCATGGAAGTGCTGAGCCCTTTCCCCATGCTTTGCCCTACACAACTCTTCCATCTGAATATTTATCTGTAGTTTTTATTGTGCCTTTCAAAAATAAACTGGTTAATCCAATAAGGAACTGTTTCTCTGAGTTCTGTGAGCTACTCTAGCAAATTAAGCAAACTCAAAGAGGGGTTGTGGGAACCTCCAACTTATAGCCAGCCTGCCAAGTTCAGAAGTACAGGCAGTAACCTGGGTTGGGAGTGGGTGAACAGTGTTGTAGGACTGCTAACCTGTGGAGTCTGGTGCTATTGCTGGGTAGGTTGTGTCTGAAATGAGTTAATTCTGGCACACCCTGCTGCTGTCCATGAATTGCTTGTTGGTGGTGTGGGATCCCCTCCCTCCATCCACACATGGAAATTAGTTCCCAGAACCCCCATTTAAAATCATTTTAGACTTCTACTCAAAAATGAAAACTGATTTCCAAAGCTATAAATCTTTGATTGCATCACTAAGAAACAGAATAGAACCTAAAGTGCTCTAAAAAAGAGAGGGTGGCGGGGGGGGGGGGGCAGGGGGGGGAACAGGAGATTGTCAGTGTGATTTTACAGTTGGTATTCTTCACAGGGAGCCTGAGCAGAGTAGAAAAGCATCTGTCATCAAATGTTGCAAAGGCCACTGCCCTAGTTAAACTGTTGTGAACTGGGGCACTTGAGTCTGAGTAATTCAGGACTTTTATTTTCAGCACATGTCCCCAATCATTCCTGTAGAAATGAAGGCCACCTCTTGACTCCAAATATGCCATTTACCCTTAGCTCATACCCTGTAACTTTTATCTAACCAGTAAAGATAGAAAACTAGAAAAATGTTACATTCTCAGATAATAGAAGTAGAAAGCATTTGAGCACAAGGGAAAGTGAAAAAGTTTTCTAGGATCTACAAAACCAAAAAGATATTTCTAGTTGTATGCCCTAAATGTGCTTCCTTTCACTTTATCATTTGCTCTGTAACATACCCTACTGACCATAAATGTTATCATTTATTTAAAAAGAAAAATACTTCCATTTCATACAAACCCAAATAATGCATACACACTGGGAATGGGAGAAGGTGGCCTATATTTGGGGAGATATTTCTTTCTAAATTCTTACTAGATCTGAATATGCATAGCTTATTTCAACAAGAGTTCAGAAAGATAACCAGGAGTGATGCAAGTATCACTTTAGTCCCCTCAGTAATTCTAGATTCTTCTATGGTCTTGTATTACTTTTCCCTGACAGGTAAAGCTCTTTGGCTTTGTTTAGTATTGGCCAAGGTCAAGGGGAAAGGATAAATCTGAGTAGAATAAATAGTAGACATGCTGACAGCCATGACGCTGTAATGGGATTTTTTTGTTCCGTAATAGTGTTATGCTGTGGTTATGGACTCAGAAATCAAGCTTCTTGGATTCAAATCCTGGTTATTGGCTGAATAATGCTGGGTCTCATCTATAAAACGAAGGTGCAGATAAGAGCACTTCAAAGAGTTCTTGTGAGGTTTAAGTGAGTTGATAATATAAAGCGTCTAGATCAATGCATAGTGAGTCCCCAGTAAATATCAAAATTAGGAAAATTTAATACATGAAATTTCTCATTATGTCTTCTAAATATTTTCATATAGTTACCTAGTATTAAGCCATAGATTAACAATAATTGATTTTAACTCACTGCCTATTATAATAGTTTTAGATTGTTTCCAATTTTTCAGTTCATATTGTCTTATTTTTTCAGATTAACCTTAAAATTACTTTTCCAATGTCTGAGAAAAATACTCATAAATTTTTAATTGGAATTATATTAAATCTATATATTTATTTGGGGGAATATTCTTTTACAAAGTCTATTTTTATCATCCTGGCATATAATATAGCTATTTACATATTGTAGTATTAAAAAGTGACCTAATATTTTATAATTCTTTTCATAGAGATCATTTATATTTATTTTTACATTAATTCTTAGATAATTCATAATTCTGCCATTAGTAGCTTTTAAATAGAATTTATTCTTATTACTCTTAGGAAATATTTGGTATTTTGTTTAGTGGCTTTTTATACAGATGCTATAATTTTTAAAGTAAAAAAAGTCAAACCTTTTTTGCATAGAAAGTCTCAATTTATATCCTGAATTTAGAGCAAATTTTACCTATAACTTTTTTTTAGTAAAACCACTTTCTAAAAGGTAAAAGTTTTAAGTCCATAATATAAATATATCTCTAAGAAATATGGTGATATTATGGAGAATCACTACAATAAACAAAATTCTTGCTTCATCTTCCTTAAACAATGAGTCAGTAAGACCATCTCAGTCAAATAGAAAGCAAGAACTTAAAAAAAAAACCTCACTATTTCATTAACAGATCCATTAATGGATTATAAACTACAGAAGTCTAACATTTACTACTGTTTTGCTTTCTTTTCTACTCATCCCTACTTTAGCATTCTTTTCATAGTTCTGTAATTGCCTTGTTTAATTATTATTTACTTTGTTTACTATCTATTTCCCCTCCCCCACTGATTTACTATCTACCCCCCTTATTGGTTTCAGATATGCTATGTTTTGAGAATAAGAGCTTAGGAGAGAGTGTTAGATGGGAGATGGGAATTTGGGAGCCATTAGATTTTAAAGCTATGCAATGAAATGAGTGTATCTGGCAAGTGACTATAGATCAAGAAGAGATTTGATGCTGAGAAGAAAGGCCAGCCAAAGAGACTGAGAAGAAGCCACCAGTAAGGTAGGGAAAAAACAAAAAATAAAACAAGAATGTGTGATGCTCCAGAAGTCTATGGAGAAGTAAGTACAGCACAGGGCTGAAGGAAATTAGTGGTAATCAAATACCTGTGAGTTCAAATAAAATGATGACTAAAAATTGACCATTGGGTTTAGACCATTGTGGAGGTTGTTGCTGGTTTGACAAAGGTGGTCTTAGTGAATAGAGTGATGAAATCTGGACTGGAATAGAAGAAAAGGAATGGATAGTAATAAAGTGAAGGTAGAGATAATAGACAACTCTTTCAATATTTTTTGCAACAGAGAAATGGGCTATAACTGGAGAATGATGTTAAATCAAAGGATTTTTATTTTAAGATAGGAGATATTGAACCATGTTTATATGCTGATATGAGTTTTGATAGGTCAAAAGGAAAGTGAAGGCTATGCAAGTGGCAGAGCTAGCTATGGAGAGAAGAGATGGACAAGAAGGAATGCAAAGTATGCGTGTGTGTGTGTGTGTGTGTGTGTGTGAGAGAGAGAGAGAGAGAGAGAGAGAGAGAGAGAGAGAGAGAGAGAGAGAGAGAGAGATAAAGATGCATGCAGGTTGGTAGATCTGGTGATGGGACTATGAAGCATTTTTTTCTGGATGTTTCTAACTTTCAATGAAATAAAAAGAAGTTTCATCAACTAACAGCGAGAAATGAAAAACTTTAGAGATTCGAGGAGTGAAGAAATTGTGTAACATAATCATCTCAGGAAGTGTGAAAGCATTTTAGCAGGGTAATGTAGTATGAGTCCAAATGTAGTATCAAAGCCCTTGCTGAGTAGCTCAGCTGGCTAGAATGTCATCTCAATATGCCAAGGTTGTGGGTTCAATCTCTGGTCAGGGCACATACAAGAAGCAACCAATGAATACATAAATAAGTGGAACAACAAATCGATCTTTCTCTCTCTCTCTTTCTTGTCCTCTCTCTCTCTAAAATCAATTAATGAAAATTTTTAAAAAATAACAAAAGAACATACTGAGGAGCCATTTAAGATACAGTGATATAATTAAAGTGAAACAAGTGGAATTTTCTCTAGGGAGCAAACAGAAAGGTTACTGAGGATATACGCAGGAGGGAAATTATAGCAATGAACTATGGCATCTAAACCAAGTAAGAAGGAAGTGAGGGTTTGAAAATATGGTGAGTTAATGCATTGTCCAGATGAGACCAAAGAACAGTTGCTAAAGTAACTGAATTGAAAGACTGGAGTTATTTGAATCTCAGGTAAAAGAAACCCTACATAACCCACCCTTACAATTCTCCAAAGGGGCTGGACAATGTGACTCTAACCATAGGCACACAACTTGAGCCCTGATGAAATAATCTCAGAAGGCTAACTATCCAGTCAGCATGTGATTTTATTTACTTACAATTTCTCAGAAATGCATCTATTGGAAAAGCAGGGTCCATCAGTACAACTTTATCCCTTTTATTTTAAAGTATGTTTAAATGTTTTAATGCATCAAGCTGAGACGCAGCACATCATTCAAACCAAGCATGCTATTAGAGCAGCATCTGTAAGTGCCTTTTTGTTTTTCTGCTTATTAGTCTCTTAATGGCAATAAAACATATTACCAAATTTGAAAGCTAATACATTTCCAGAATAATCTGAACAGCAAATAAACAGAATCTTGTAATGCCATCTCAAATACTCTTCAGAAAACTGTTAAGAGGGCAAAAAGTCCATAAAGCAAAGCACACGGGTAGGCAACGAGAAGCTGTTGTCCTTCCATGTCCAAGGCGGAAATGAAGATTTTGGAAGCTGAGAGACTACACCAGACAATGATGACCAGTGCCAACACAGTACCGATCGTGCCCCTGTAGCAAAGACAAAAGAGATGGTTACCTTACATCAGGAGAAAGAGGTTACTGAATCAGAGCTGCCTTTGAAATGTCTTTGGTACCATATTTATAACTACTTTTTCATTTGTAAAATGAGGGTGAGGAACCACATGAACTTAAAGGCCTTGGCCAGTGGGGCGGGACTGGGCGAGACGGGCCGGGCATGCCCTGGAGCCAACCTCCTCTGCCACCACAGCTCGAAGGGCTGGGTGAGCAGCAGGGTCCCTCTGGCAGTGGGGTCACTCGGACTGGCCTGTGGGGATCGGGCCGAAACTGGTTCTCCAACACCCCCCGAGGGGTCCCGGAGTGCTAGAGGGCACTCTGCAAAGTTGCTGTCGAACAGGGTGTGGAATGCAAACGCAAGTGTGTAGTAAACCAGATTCAGGACTGCCAGTGCCCTAGGAACAACATAACCCACAGCCGAAGGTGGAATTGCACAGCCCACGAGGAATCGGGCTCCCTCCTCTCTGGCTTCAAGGTGTGTTGCCCGAGAACCACTGCTGCCAAGTCACCACAACTTGGTGACTCCTGCATTGAGCATCTGCCCTCTGGTGATCAGTGCACATCATAGGTACCGGCCAGTCAGACTGTCGGACAGTCACTTAGCTTTTTATATATCTAGATTATCCTATATAATAAAAGGCTAATATGCAAATGACTGAATGGCGGAACGACCGGTCGCTATGACGCGCGCTGACCAGCAGGGGCAGATGCTCAACGCAGGAGCTGCCCCCGGTGGTCAGTGTGCTCCCACAGGAGGAGCGCTGCTTAGCCACAAGCCAGGCTCATGGCTGGTGAGCGCAGCAGTGGTGGCGGGAGCCTCTCCTGCCTCCACAGCAGTGCTAAGGATGCCCAAATGATGGCTTAGGCCCATCCCCCGAGAGCTCCTGGACTGCAAGAGGGCACAGGCCGGGCTGAGGGACCCCCCCACCCCGGAGTGTATGATTTTCATGCACTGGGCCTCTAGTATCTAAATAAAAAGATTAAATGCTTTTCTAAAATGTCTATCTTTGGTATTGGTACGTTCTTTATGTAATATCCTATTCAATGTAGGGTTAATAACCTAAAATGTGGATCCTCTAAGAAAAAAATACAAATTATGTCTCATTACAATGTGGAATCATGAGCACTGATGGCAAATGTTTATTTCTACTTGGGCTTAGAGCATAACAAGTGATAAAGGACGATGTAATTACTTGGTCTCCCCAATCAAAGTGGTTGTGACATGCAGCTGTCCCGGGAGAGTGCCTGACAGAAACTTAGCTACTGCATTCTTACTAATGGTTTTGAATTGCAAATACTAACTGCTCAGGAAGTAATAAAGAAAAAAAATTCTTGACTGAGCACATATGCCATAAAACTCTCTAGCATTAATATCCTCATCAGGGTTTCTGGGAATTCTGCACCACACAGAGCCCAGCTGAGAGAGAACAGTTGCCTCCCACCTAGAAGACAGAGTGCCTGGGAGCTGAGGCAATTTGTCAGCGGTTCACCAGGCACTTACTCTTCCACAATCAAACAAGTGAATTTTTTAAAGATCTTCCATTACCCATGACAATAGCTCATACTGAAGAATGTGACAACTCACAAAGTGCCAGTTTTAAAGATTACTTGGTGTAATCTATTTTTTAAATCACTGATATAGAAACAGCACCTTTGCCAAAACTGACCTACTTCCCTGAATCTGCCTGTAGCTTTTTTAAAAATATATTTTTATTGATTTCAGAAAGGAAAGGAGAGGGAAAGATACAAACATCAATAATGAGAGAGAATCATTGGTCAGCTGTCTCCTGCATGCCCCGCACTGGGGATCAAGCCTGCAACTGGAGCATGTGCCCTGACCGGGAATGGAACCATGACCTCCTGGTTCATGGGTCAACACTCAACATCTGAGCCACCATCGCTGGGCGTGCCTGTAGCTTTTAATAGTCATCAAGTCCCCAACTCCACTACCAAAATGACTGGGAAGAGGCCAGTGTTGCACTGGTGTGGCACACCTTAGCAGTGACTATGCATGCGGGGTCTATCAGTGAACGAGGACACTTACTGCAGTGAAAAGAAGACAGCACTGCCAGACAGGATGACCATGGGGAGCAGGCAGTATCCCAGCACACTCGCCACGCAGCCATAGGACACCCCAGAAGAGCTCATCAAGTTTAGTAAGGCATAAATCCCTAGGCAGCCGATGGCACTCATGCCATATATGTAACCAAACTGAACTTTTCCTGCCTGAAACAGGGAGAAGAAAACAGTTTGAATACACAGAAAGCATCAAGAGAAAAAACAGGGTGTCAACAAATCAGAGCATTTTAGAATCAATCAGCTCAGCGCTGTTCCATATCTTTGTAGTGCTTACAATTATCAGGAGACTGGGAGTTCTGGGTAAAACAATGACTATATTATGAATTTAGGTCCTGAAAACAAACACCCCTGACTATACTTGGGATGGCATAAGCATGCTACAGAGAAGGTGAAATATTTTTAGGTTTTTTTTTTTATCACAGATTGCCTATTAGAGCATAAGTAAGAATATATTTTCTGCCCATATTTGTTAAATAATTAAATAAATGAATCAATTAATGAAAAAAATTCCAATTTAGTCTTGGTTATTTACAAGGGATATTAGTAATATAAGCAAAAACCCATAGGATTTGCTATGTTAGGGCCTATTCCAAGCATTTCAATAACTTATTTAATCTACACAACCATCCTATGAGATAGGTAGCATTATTTTATCAATTTTACACAGAAAATTGAGGGGCGGAAAGTTTAAGTAACTCCCCAAAATAAAATAATGCTAATTGGTTGAAGTTGGCTTTGATCCCAGGTAATCTGGCTCTAAAATTTAGGTCCTTAACTACAGGAGCTTTAATAATGGAACTTATTTAACCTTTTATTACCCAGCATATACCAAACTTACCACAGAAAATTTTGTTTTCATAATGCCTAGTGCCAGTTTAATACTTTATGAAAAGTTGATTTGTATAAACTACCTGGTAATGAATCATAAAAGAGGTACTGTTAAGGGAATTCAATGGTGTTCAGGATATACCACTGAGCTCCTGAGGACTTATAAAAATAGCCGCCACTCACAAAGCACTAGGGTCTAGATTCTAGACTCTAGAAGCTGAAATATCTCCATTAAACTCATCTGGGGTAAGTACAATCTACTGTTAATTGAACAGAGGATATTTTAATGTTGGCTACCTGAGGATGCCAACGCTCCAGTCGAGAATGATTTTAGTTTTTACATTTACATTAAACTGACTAGAAATTCTAGATAAACGTTGGATCAATTGACTTTGGTTCTCATGGGAATTATTAAAAAACAACAAAGGTCTGGTAAGTTGATTCAGAAGTTTTTCAGCTGTCTTTTTTTTTTCTTCCCCATAGCTGTTATTTGTGAAGTCCTTATGTCTTAGAGAACAAAGAAATATTTATTAATGAAGGATATTGGAGAATGTTATGACCATTTTAATGATCAAAATTTTCCAGCTATTTTCAACTCTTCTTCTTCTGTAGTTATGGAGGCTGGTAAGTTCTTTCACAAAAATGTCCCTGGGCTACACTGGCAGAATTCTCTCTTGCATTAGCCAGAGTAAGTTCTCATTGAATATCTTTTGTATTCTTTTGGAATTCTTTTGTATTATTTTGTGAAATAATGTTATGGATGCTAATGGACATGCTAAAAAACACACACATCAGTTATGCATTGCACCACAGGGTGGGTTTGCTCAACTTGGAAAATAGTGACACTTTCAAATCACTTTTAAGTAGTAGAGAAACATTTTATTTAATATTTTAACTGAATGTGGTAATTCTGAGGTAATGATAGCTATAATGGTGAAAAGCAACTTCTCTATACCCAAAGGGCACATAGTCTGAATTTCCTGGCCCCAAGAAGTTTTGTGATTAGAGTGGGGAAAATAAATGATGAATGAAACTAATTTGGTAGCAAAATTGTCCCTTTCCATATCAGTTATTGACATTTCTTTTCATCTTGCTCTCTTGTTATTTTATTCAATTTAAAGTACAATTCCACTTGGCAGGGGCCACCGCCATTTTTTAATTTGTTTTGAATTGTAACAAGGGCTTGTAGTTGAAATGGAAAATAAATGTTCCTTTTTTTCTTTTTCTTTCTTTCTATTCTTTTAATTACCTACAGAGAACAGATCCCAGATCCTTTGTTATCAGAGAGCAGAGAAAAAGAGGGTTAGGAGTGGACTAAAGGGGTAAAAGGTGTTAATTGTATGTTGATCGATAGTAACCAACCTTTAGGGGGAGATCACTTTGTAGTGTATACAGATGCCAAATTATAATGTCATACTCATGAAGTATTTATAATTTAAAAAAAGAAAAGAAAAAGAGTTCCATTTCTTTTTAACCTCAAAATTTTCAGGATCCTTCCTGCACTACCATCTTCATACTAAATCTGTATTTGAAATACTTATTCATGTGATTATCCTATATAATAAAAGGGTAATATGCAAATCGACTGAATGGCAGAACGACTGGTTGCTATGACACGCACTGAGCAGGCAGGCAGGCAGGCAGGTGAGCAGTTAGGGGCGATCAGGCAGGCAGGTGAGCAGTTAGGGGCAATCAGTCAGGCAGGCAGAGTGGTTAGGGGTGACCAGGCAGGCAGACAGGCAAGCAGTTAGGCGCAATCAGGCAGGCAGAGTGATTAGGGGCCAGCAGTTAGGAGTGAGCAGGCAGGCGAGCAATTAGGAGCCAGCGGTCCTGGATTGTGAGAGGGATGTCCAACTGCCGGTTTAGGCCCGATCCCAGGGATATCCCCTGAGGGGTCCGGGATTGCAAGAATGCACAGGCCGAGCAAATTTTGTGCACCAGGCCCCTAGTACTGTTATATTGACCATGCATATTCTTTTTTCAGATCACACTCTAAGATCTATCCAAAAAAAAAAAAAAAAAAGACCCAGGGCTTTAAATCTCTCATATTTATTGTGTTGGGGGTGAAAATAGTTTTGAGAGAAATAACAAGTAAAACTAAATTTGTGTTGTGTTTGAAGCTGTTCTTTTTAGTTTGCCTCCTTCAGCATGAAGAAAGTCCACTAAAAGGTATTGTGCCTTATATCAACATAAATCAGAAAAATGATGAGTATGTGACCGTGAATCTTATACCTCCAGGGACAATGAATAGATTTGGATATTGGTTCTGGATTTACTTTTGCTTTTTCTGATATATATATATATATATATATATATATATATATATATATATCAGCCCATAAAATCATCTTTTACATCTTTATTGATTTTTTTTAAGAGAGAGCGAGAAATACCAATTTGTTGTTCCACTTATTTATGCACTCATTGGTTGCTTCTTGTATGTGCCCTGACCAGGGATCAAACCCACAACCTTGGCATATCAGGACAATGCCATTCTAACCAACTGAGCTACCAGGCAAAGGCTCATCCTTTACATTTTAATTGGATATATCCAGAGTCAGGTTAACTTAGCTTCAAATGAATTCTGAGTTAAATCTGACTTCACTAATATCCACTTTGTTTGTTTTGTCCTTATTGCTCTACATGTGTCAGAATCAATTCCTAAGTAACCACATTCTAATGTTAAAATTGAAATGATAATGTTTTCCTAAAAAGTTTCAGAAAATATCCATTTTCAAATATTCCCCAAAATTTCAGAACTGAACGGAACTTAAGTACCACTTTTAATAAATCTTGTTTTGTCCTCAAAATGAAGAAATAAAGTTCAAGAAACAGGAAACAAAAGATTCAAGATCACACCTAGAGGAAAAGTTCGGGGTAGATTCAATTTTTTTACTTCCAATTGATTTCTTTGTCTATATAGCTTTGTACTATTTAAGACAAAAGAGAGGATACTCAACTCCAAATAACATTGTACACCCTAAAAAGATCTTAATGGAATTAATAATTTCCTTTAAAGGATGGTGCTGGTAGCATTTCTACAGAAAAACAACAACACACAGCTGTTATATTACTTGAAAAAGAAAGATGAGTTAATATATTAAATTGATTGTTTCTGACTACTTGATTAATTGACACGGTCTTACTTAGCAGCATTTAATCTAAGATTATCAAATTACTGTGACAGAGACAGAAGGGAGGTTAGAGACTAAATTAAAACTCCAGTTGATATAGTATTTGATTTATAGAGTATTTGTATTTGCTGTAGTTCAAAGGAAGAAATAGATGCTATCACTAAATACTATTGTACTAGATAAATAAACTATGATTATTGATCACATTATTATGCAGAAACTAGACTTCTATCAGTGTTTTGATACTGGTATTAAGTAGTTAATAAATAAAAAGTAAAAATTTATTTAATTGCAAATAACACTTTACAGCTACTTTTAAAAATTGTAACTACAGTGCAGAAAAACAATTATGGGAAATAGCTGTAAGGAAGGAAAGTGAACAAGGCCTAGAATTTTTAATTTCCTGTATTATTTCTCCTGCAAAGTTTATCACTTTATGCTTTAATAAAGCCATATTTTTTTCAGGCTAACTTGACCATATTTTTCATCCTGTGTTGTGTTTTTTATTAATACCCACCTGAGCATATGATTATTGATTTGAGAGAAAGAGAGAAAGGGAAACACTGATGTGAGGGAAACATCGATCGGTTATCTCCTGCACATGCCCTGACCCGGAGGACTCTCCAACCAACTGAGCCACCCACCTGGGGCCATCCTCTGTTTTTAATGTATGATCATTCTCTTTTTGGTATAAAATAATAAACCTTTTCTAAGTTTTTCTTTCTTTTTAAAAATGAAACATGTTTTCCAAATGATAGGCTAGAATGCTATCTAAACTTAACTTAGGTGGAAATATGTGACTTAAAAATTTTTTTGGCCTATTTTGATATTATTACTCCCAGATATAAAGAATGAAAGAGGCACATACACAAGGGAAATGGTGAAAGTCAGGGGAGAAAATGTCACCATAAAAAGCATAAAGCTGCCTTAGTCGGTTTGGCTCAGTGGATAGAGCATCAGCCTCCAGACTGAAGGGTCCTGGGTGTGATTCCAGTCAAGGGCACATGCCTGGGTTGCAGTCTTGATCCCTAGTAGGAGCCGTGCAGGAGGCAGCCAATCAATGATTCTCTCTCATCATTGATGTTTCTATCTCTCTCTCCCTCTCCCTTCCTCTCTGAAATAAAAATATTGATTTCAGAGAGGAAGACCCATCTCAGACTTCATAGGATACTAGAAATACCATAGAGATACAACACAACCAAGAAAATGATGAACAAAGAGAAAGGATTTGTCCAGTGTGACAATACAAATTTCACAAAAAAGCAAGAAATAAAATTTAAGCCTTATATTTCCCAAGTTCATGTGCTCCTTCAACTATTCCAGATTGACATTTTTTTCTTAATAACAATAAAGACCTAAATGATTAGCTGCTTTATAAAAAAATTTGATTTGGTGATTTTTATCTTTAAAATTTTATTTAAATTTCTATTTTTTTTTATCAGTTGTAATGCATGATGGCAGTTTCTATTTTGTCACTATAGTTCTATGAAACATGTTTCTATCTCACCTCCCAAAAATGTAGCCACAAATTAAACAGACAATTTTCACTGTATAAAGTGACATACTGCCTTCTGTGTTTCCAAAGCACTCTGCAAAAACCACATTGGAAAGGACACACGTTTAAATCTGATGCCGCTGTCCTTTACCAGAAGCAGGGTGGCTCCCAGCGCCACACAGAACAGGATGGGCCCAGCCAGGTCGGTTTCATTCATAATGCTGCCATCTGCTGGCTTCAGTGGGTTTAACACTGTCAAGGTTTTTTGCCATATGTGATCAAAATTAATTCCAAGTTCTGCAAAAAAAAAAAAAGGGGGGGGGGAGGTAATATAAATATATAAAAGTATTTATATTAGAAATATAAACCTCAGAATATAGAACATCAAATATAAACATCAAATATTAGAAAAATAAACAGCAGTAATATTCTTTTATTAAAGTTACTATATTTGATTCACTTGCTTAGAATTTTAATCTGATTGTTATAACTTCGTAATCTAAAACTCCAAGTAAAAATTTAAACCATAAATAAATAAAATTAGCTGAACCGGTTTGGCTCAGTGGATAGAGCGTCGGCCTGCGGACTGAAGGGTCCCAGGTTCAATTCCGGTCAAGGGCATGTACCTTGGTTGTGGGCATATCCCCAGTGGGGGGCATGCAGGAGGCAGCTAATCAATGTTTCTCTCTCATCGATGTTTCTGGCTCTCTATCCCTCTCCCTTCTTCTCTGTAGAAAATCAATAAAATATTAAAAATAAATAAATAAATAAAATTATATTTTTATTTGCAAACAATGAGCTAAGAGAAATATTTTAGACAATTTTCTTCCATAAGAAAAAGTATCCCTGACTTATGTAGCCAATACAAGCTTAAAATCTAAATGAAAATTGAGAAATGAACATTCTACAGTAAAAACTAAAATGTAACGGTAGACCCAAAGTCCCATTCTATTGCCCATTTAGACATATCCTTTCCTTGCAATTTCCATTGCTAACACTTTGGAAATATCAAACGTAGTATAATTTTTCCCTAGAAGAACTATCTAAACTAGAGATATTTGTCCCAGGTCTGGGACTTCCTTTGAGAGGAGAATGCTGCCTGCCTGAAACGCCACAGAGAAGAAAGGGGATGGCCTTTTCGGCAAGTAAACGGAATCATGATGGGCACACATATTTTTACACGCTAAATGCTCTGTGCAGTTGAGTCTGTGTAGAGATTAAATTCTTTTTTAAAATGTGTTTTTACTGACTTCAGAGAGGAAGGGAGAAGGAGAGAGAAATAGAAACATCAGTGATGAGAGAGAATCATTGATCGGCTACCTCTTGCACACCCCCTACTGGGGATGGAGCCCGCAACCTGGGCATGTGCCCTTGACAAGGAATCGAACCTGGGACTCTTCAGTCTGCAGGCCGACGTTCTATCCACTGAGCCAAACCAGCTAGGGCGAGATTAAATTCTTGAGACAAGTTAACTGTTCCCTTTTATGAGTGGTGGAATAAAATATCCTGCCATTTGCAATAACATGGATAGAACTTGAGGGCATTATGTGAGGTGAAACAAGTCAAGAAAGACAAATACTGCATGATATCAATTATATGTTGAATCTGAAATTTATTTTTAAAAATAGTCAAACTTATAGAAACAGAGTAGAAAAGTGGTTGCCAGAGGCTGTGGGACAGGTAGGAAGTGGTTGGTATAAGGGTACAACCCATCCCACAAAAATAAACAAACAACAGAATCCATGCTTTTTATCAAGTCAATGGGCATTCGATATAATAATGGTTGTATTTTTTTTTAATTGAGCCCAATTCTCCCATGGGAAGGATCATCTCCCGAAATCATTTGTATGTGGCATTCAAATTCCCTTCCTAGAATTTAGTAACTCTCTTTGGTCAGATACAGAGTATACATAGTTCAACTTTTGCAGTGGCTCATACCACCTGAACACCTTGCAAAGCTGACATTTCTATACAGAGAAGGCCAGATGGACCTTCAATAATGACCATGACCCAAAGGGGCCTTGCTTTAACAGAGACCTTGACATTTTTCAGACTGTCAGGCAGCAGTTGGTATGAACTAGGATGGAAAGCATATCTCTCACTCATTTCACATTCAGATTGATGACTACTATCCCGAGCTTGAAAATAAAAAAATCTGGTTGGTTAAATTAATTGTGGGCAAATAATCTACATTATAACATTCATGTTGCATTCTTTTTATTTTCACAGTGTATTTATTATTTCTTAATGAACATACATTTTGGAGAATATAAGCAGTTGTCCAAGCTTAAAATGAGGTTAGAATAGCGATTTTCAACCAGTGTGCTGCAATAATTTTTAAAACATGCAATACCTGATTATTTTGTCAGAGCACTGACCTCTTTTCCCTTAAATTGTCAAATAAAAAATTTCAAAAGCCAACACAACAATAGCTGTCTCATGTGAATGAATTAAAATCATGCCTATTTTTGTCATACCTGCAAAATATATTATATTATATTATATTATATTATATATTAATTATATTATATTATGTATAGTTTTGGTGTGCCGCAAATTTTAGTAATTAGTGTGCCATGAGATAAAAAAGAAAAGGTTGAAAACTGCTGGGTCAGAATGTCTAATGTAATTTTTAAAAGAGAATACTTTAAAAATTTGAGAAATACAGTAGGTGAATTAATTTCACCTAAAATTTATGTTGCTTTCAAACTTCATTTTCAATTTAGACATTTATGCTAACAATGTTTTCAGTATTTGCCACAATAAAGTGGCCTTTAATTAAAAACATCTTTTTTTCTGAAAATGCATAATAATTATTCCCAAAGAAAATCAAAGCCTTATGAGACATAATTACTGATTTCAATCATTTATTTAATGGAATAATTAACTTCTATATATATTTCAACATTGAGTCATAAAACAGTAAATGAACCTAAGACAAACTAAATATTTTCATAAGAAAAAAGATCTTATGTATTTTCTACCAAAATACATTGCCATAATACAGGGTGTGACAAAAGTAGATTTATAGTTTGAGTACATGAAACACAGAGTTTATTGTTATTTATTAATTATTGTATTATTTTCCATACAAACAACTGTAAATCTACTTTTGCCCCACCTTATAATTTGTTTTCAAATGTATTACAAAGTATGCAAATGAGCTTATAAGTATTATTAATTGTAGATAATCTAATATTACACCTTATACAAAATAAGGTAGAAAAATTGCTGTGAAATTTTAATGCAAAATTATTGTTTTACTGTCATCTAGTGGTAGTAAAGTATAAGATATATAAGTGCTATAAAAATGAACTAATATATTGATTTTTTATGCAAATTGTGTTGTTGGCCTTTGAAACACAAACATTAGGCTATTTTACAAATACCAAATGTCACAGTAATTTTTCTTGTCTGATAGACTTAAATTGACTACTAGCCTTCAAGGTGTATTTGTTAACATATTGATTGTATATTACCAAATAGCCAAAGTTGTCATTCTTACACAAAACCAAACAAGCCTTTTAGACAACAAAGCATTTAAGGCATAAACAAGCACAGTTTCAAATAACATGTTTTTGTGCAGGGGATGTTTTATTATAGATTCATAATTTTATAGGTTGTCTTAATGTACACTCTAAAAAAGCTGGCAAATGTCATTCATCACCTTATCACAGAAATTGTGCCTAAGGCCTTTTCATGTCTTTTATAGATGAAGCTTGAGACTTCCACAAAGTCACTCAACATGAAGAACATATTAGAGCAATTCTTAGAAATTCCCTAGATTCAAAATGCAAAATTATAATAAGTGCTCTTTCTTATAATATACTATACATTTGATGGGGATAATCACAAAGAGAAAAAATAATCAAGAAATTTTCTCCGATCTGTGTAAAGTGGGAAGGGAAGCAGTTTCATTAAGTGGGGTGGGGAGGGTGGTTACTCTGATGTAACCACTTTTCGAAATGATGTCTTCACTGTTGTGCAGACATTGCCAGGGAGTTCAAATTTAAGAAACAGTGAAGGCACCAGTGGTAACTGCAGCAATAGCACATACCTCCTTCCGGTTCCCCCCACACAAACATGCGGCAGACTTCCACTGGGTTAAGCCTCTTGAAGAGGCAGATTTGTTTACACGTGGAATAGTCACACACAAAACACTGTATGCATCATGCTGACAGCACACGTTACGTGCTCATTATTGCTATTATTCTCGAGCTGTACACACATTAACAGCACTTCCTTAACTTATCTTCTAGCAAAGGAGGCTCTTCATCAAAACTGTCAACGTAAGGAGACTGTGAATAATAATCCGGGTTGGATGCGGGCTGAAAATATTGTCCAGTGTAACCTGATGACATGAGCATCTCCGGTGGGACAAAGGCAAGCTGAGGCTGCTCACTGGCTTGCTGTCTAGAGAAAGGAAAACACTGGTATGTATGCATCTAAGAAAAGGATATCATGACAAATCAAGGAAATGAAGGAAACTACAATTTCTCTTTCAGGAATTATTCCAGGTTTTATGAATATTTAAGCATGAAAGAAATAACTTGCTTACAGTTGAGCTTTAATCAAAAACAGTGAAGTCACTGGTCATGAAAAGACTTCTAGAAGACTGATCCATACCAACTAATACTTATTGATTATGTACAACATGCTGTCACTTTTTCTCACATTTTCCCATGTCATTAGACTTAGTAAGGTAAAATCTGTCGCTTTAGTCCCATTTTACAGAAAGAGAAGTAGAGGTTCCTGGACACTGAATGACTTGCCCAGAATCACAGAACGCAGCAGGTGTCCGACTCTGAACTGAAGCTGGCTGAGCACTCTGCCTCTTTCACTGATATTCATGGCAATCACCAAATATGGATGTCTTTATAAATGTGTGGAAGCAGCAAGTGTAAATCACAATTTTAACAGTATAGCCAATTCATAGGAAAAAATAAATGTATAAACTGACTGCTGTCCATAAAGAAATAGACTTTCTAGCTCTGGCCATTCCCAGACAATTATTGCCAATCAAATGACCTGTGAGCACCTAACTAAAAGTATTCAGTAGCGTCCCTCTTTTGAAGTATGCAATTTAGTTTGTCCAAAGACGTTTCTTGTCAAACATGACACTTCCTTGACCATGCTTTTGCTTGTTTTTTTATTTCATCATTTGTGTCAGGAAGCTGGAAAACAACAATCTTAGTAAATAATTTATTGTGAAAGCTAGAAAAAGGAAGAAAGAGTGAGTGACATTATTTGGTCATTTTTAATTGTGTTTTTCCTGAAGGGGAAGAAATATAAATTGTCCTTATTAAGTTTATCTGATCATAACATTGTAGGCTAAACTAAGCTAAAAATACAGCCCAGGATTCTAAACTTTGTAGCTCTCTGGGATCTCTTTATGTTAAAATACTTACAAAATGGCTTTTTATACTTTCCTTCCAACATTCATCTTAATATGAAGTCTAAGAATAACATATTCATCCTCCCTTATATGAGTAAGCCTGAAAGAGAAGATAACCTCTTTTGAAAAATAAAGCTATAAAATAGAAAAATATATACATTTAATCATTCACTAACTCACCACAAGCTCATTAAGGGCAGAGACCTGGTATAATACTTCTTGAATCACCCACAGCAGCAATTTTCAACTGGCTGCTGTGCTGCAAGAATTTTTTAAAAATGCAATACCTGACTATGTAGTCAGGGGCACTAACCTTTTTTCCCCTTATATTGTCAAATTTAAAAAATGACAACAGGCAACACAATAGCCATCTGGTGTGAATGAGTCAAAATTATACCTTTTTTTCCTCTCAGATCGGCAAAACATATATGTTTGTGTGCTGCAGAACTTTAGCAATTAGTTTATGTGTGACAGAGATAAAAAGGGTTGAAAATAGCTGTTCCAAACCATATGCTGATTACTGTTATTGTTCCTGTAATCATGTGGCATATTTCTAATCTTTCTTTAAAAAAAAAAAAGAAAATATTTGTATTGGTTTCAGAGAGGGAGGAAGAGAGAGAGAAAGAGAGAGAGAGAGAGAGAGAGAGAGAGAGAGAGAGAGAGAGATGATGAGAATCATTGAATTGAATCATTGACTGGCTGCCCCCTGCATGCCTCCTCCATGTACCCTGACTGGGAACCGAATCATGACCTCCTGGTTCATAGGTCAAAGCTCAACCACTGAGCCACGCTGACTATGCTCTAATCTTTCTTTTTAAACAAAGTAGGCCCACTATCAAAAGTGCTGGTAGAATGGACTATATATAAGAAACTGAATGGCTTTTGGTTGATAAAGCTTTCCCTAGATATGTATTTTTTAAAAAATGTAACCAGTTCTAGAAGAATAAAAGGGGCAAATAGAGATGATTGAATGGACTAGTGTCTAAAGACTATTTCATTGACATATTGTCCTGGCCTCACCAAAACTCATGCCCAGGTGCTAATAACCAGGCTTAAGGAAACATAACTTCCACAATTAGTCCGGGCAAAGCAATCTCTATGAATGAGGGGATTCAGTATCGGACACACCCCCACCCCTGCCAAGAGCAAAACACATTTTTATAGGAAAAAAAATTGTCCAGCACCAGCCAAGTCCTCTCCTTTTCTTTTTCCTCTCTCTATTCCTCTCTGCTACTTCATCCAACAAAACATGTTCAACAGGAGCTTAGCCTCTATTGACCTTGTTATAATGGAGGGTTAATATTAAAATCCCTCCACCGTTATTTAGAAAATAAAATTTTTAAATTTTTCCTATAAAAGGAACCTCAAAATTCTTTATCTTTAAAAATTACCATGATCATTCTCTAAATTAAAGTTTCTCTTTTTATCTTATAACTTTGACTATAGCAATTAATACCATATCTCCGTGAAGAAAACCTAAGCAATACCAAAATAATCCCATTATTAATCCACACTCCAACCCAGAAAAACCCTGCAAATACCCAATTCTCCTGTTTTAGGCCTTTCACTGACAAATGACTCTGAACCATAATTTTAACCATACATCTTGAATCAACACTTAATCCCATGTCTTCTAGTGTTATCCTTTTTTACTAGGTGGTTCCAATTTTGAATGACTATGCCAATGACATTCTCTTATATTTTCAGTGATGTCTTTCAAGCCTACAGTATCCTTCCATAAAAAAAAAGTCACGAATGGACTGGACACTACTAATTGCTCTGTGAAGCCTATGAATTAGTAGCCTACTAAAGGCAATTGCATGGGTCAGATTGATATACCCACCACTTCAAGCAACTGTGAAGTGATTGCAAAATTCTCCCTTAGAACTGGCAACATTCTTGGTCAGATTTCCCTTCTTTTGCTTCCTGACTCTGTGGAGTTACTTTTCTGCCTGTATTAGAATCCAAGGGTAGATTTGTCCTGAGCCAAGTAGAGTAGTTAGCCAATTCAGCCACTGAAGTCAGACTGCCTGGGTTCAAATCCCAATTTTATAATCTACTGGAGGACAGGACGAAAACGGCTCTCCAACATTCCCCCGAGGGGGCCCAGATTGCAAGAGGGCTCAGGCCAGGCCGAGGGACCCCACTGGTGCACGATTGGGGCTGGGGAGGGACTCGCGGTTGGCCAGCTGGGAGGGACTGTGAGAGGGCTCCAGGATGTATCCAGCACATCTCGCTCAGTCCCAATCGGCCAAACCCCAGTAGCAAGCTAACCTATCGGTTGGAGCGTCTGCCTCCTGGTGGTAAGTGCATGTCATAGTGACTGGTCGACTGGTCGACTGTCTGACCCCTGGTGGTCAGGACATCATAGCAGCCTTAACATATCATTAGCATATTACGCTTTGATTGGTTGAACAGCCGACAAGATGACCGGACACTTACCATGTTAGGCTTTTATTATATAGGATGCAAATTACCTCACATTCTGTGCCTCAGTCTCTCATCTGTAAAATGAGGATAAGATAACTCAAAGTTGTGGTGAATTAAATTAGCAAAAATAAGTAAAGCACTTAGAATAGTGTTGGGCACACAAAACGTGATCAATAAGCATTAGCTAAGTATTTGCTCTTTTTTTCCTGATACTTACACTAAAGAATTCTAAACATCTTTCACACACCCTGGCAGCACACCTGTATCTGTAATAGTTGCCTTTCCAGTTAGGCACTTTCTCAAAGAAAACAATGCGATTAGGAGGCTAAGAGTTTAATCTCTTCTGTGATGATCGCCTTTAACTTTTTCCCATGTTGGTTTCCCTGGAATATCTAAAGTGACTGACAACATCCCAGCCATTCCGTGTTTTCCTTCCAGAAGAACCTCCACTCTACTCATGTCAGGATTTCTGTGTCTGAGCCATAAAGCAATGACCACACACCTGATCTACATAAGAACCCTGGGTACGCTCACCAATTCGTCAATATTCCCCCTTTCATTCCCCATACCATAATGTTCCGACGAACCTCCAGAGGCTGGTCTTCACTTATGTAATACTGTGTTAGGATAAGGCACAGTCTCTTGCTGGGGGAAGTTTTTGACCTCTTTCTGAATCAACTAGACTTAACATTCATCTTCTGATGCAAGTATAGAAGGTCATCGTTAGAAGACTCAGTTATGCCCTAACTGGTTTGGCTCAGTGGATAGAGCATTGGCCTGTGGACTGAAAGGTCCCAGGTTCGATTCCGGTCAAGGGCATGTACCTTGGTTGCGGGCACATCCCCAGTAGGAGGTGTGCAGGAGACAGCTGATCGATGTTTCTAACTCTCTATCCCTCTCCCTTCCTCCCTGTAAAAATTCAATAAAATATATATATTTTTTTAAAAAGATGACTCAGTTATGATTTCTGTGGTTGCAGACTTGTTTATTGCACTCAGTTCCCTGTACCCCATCACGAAATCACTAACTACATATTGGAGAGGCTTCGTTTTCTAAAACTATAGGTTTGGACTTCCATCATGAAGCTTTTCACTGAGCTGCTTTCCTTTGTCAGTCCGTTCCTGGGGAGATACAGGTGGTGCGCTCACTTCCAGTGTCATATGGAGAGTCAGAGTGTAAATCAGATGGTAAAAAATGTACCATCAAATAAGTCCCATTCATTGTAAGTCTTTCTTCACACTTAGAATCACATTCGGTGTATGTGTATTTCACCTGAGGCAACAAAGGTTTCAGAATTTCCAATACCATCAACAGCGTAAGACAACAATTTGACATATTTACACTGTTGGCTAAAAGAATGTAGTCAGAACCTCCAGAAACATTTTATCTATGTAAGTCTCCCATTGAGCCAGTCACATCAGGCATTCTGCGTGTCCTTGGTAAGAACATACCATATAGGATCAGTTCGAGGGTAGAGTGGTTTAGGAAAGTGTAGCTAGGACAGTTCGCCTATGTAACATCCCCGAATCCTGGCTAGTCCAGCGAGCGCACAGTAACCATGTGCCACTGACATGCCGTTAGCTATGTTTAAACACCAGAGAATGATCAGACCTGGGGGTTCCAATGAAATGATGACTCAGCACTGGTCTGTTAATGTCCTACCAAATATACTGTCCACATTCAAAGGGAGTTTTCCAGTTGTCACCTTTCTGCAGAAATATCTATTTCTTTCTCTTAATAATTTGAACAGTTTTCCCATTTCAAAAATTGGATACATATAGTGGGAAAATATAGCCTAGCAGTGATTGGAAATGATGCCTACCCAAAGGACTGGACAGAAATTGTAAAATGAGAATGCTCCTTGTTCATTCTAAAATAAGAGAACTTGTTTTGAAATACAAGTATCTTCATTGTTTTAGTAAGTACACTCAACCAGCTTTCCAATTAACATGCCATTGAGCTGAACAAGCCTTTTAGAGGAAGCTCCCGTTTACTGGGGACAGAGACAGAGTGATAGATTAATTGATTATAACACTGTAACTACCCTCTGGATTCCTATTCTTTGCCAGGAAAATCAACATATTATTTTGACTTGGGGAGTATTTTAATTGAACTACTCACTGAATGAATAAAAGGTCAAATCTCTGGAGTTTGTTTGATGTACACCAGTAATTCGCTGGCCCGAGTCCATGTTTTATGTACTCATAAAACTACCACAGCTAGAATGGCCTTTTCTAATTCCTGAGACATGCAGTGTGGGTTAGAATTTAAATGTTACCACCTCCAAATAAGGACTTGGATTTAAATGCTAATAAGCAGGCAAGGCCATCAACCTGATATAATATAATCAAGAGTTTTCCTCATTTGGTTCTATTAACTTCCATCTTTTGGTCATCTTGACTTCTGGGCAACATTGATATGTAAAATCAAATGGAGAAAGAAACTGGGTTTGGTGGGTGTGGGAGAAAACTGTGCTCATGAGTCCTGCTTAAAGGGGAAAGCTTTATTGCCCTCTTATTAGACATTTCAGGATAGTTTAGCCTGAAAATATAGATTGTAGGTGCTCCCCAGGTGCTTAGCCCAAATGGAGCAGAGAAGGGAGAAAAGAAATAGAAATTCAAGGTGACTGGTTCCTTTTAATAAAACAAAAGGACAGAGCTGAAAATTTTTAGATAGCTCTCAGTGTGGATTATATATTTTGAGTTACTATCCTGTAATACCTCAATGCTCAAACTGCTCTGCCTGAAACACCTTTTTATTTTTATTTTTCTTGACATTCCAAGGTATAAATCCAAGGAATAATATGAAGTTATTTTTCTGTTGTTGGATTCTATGGTGATTGAGCCAATCCTACATGACCTTGTCCTTTTCACTCATTTTTTTTTAACCCTCACCTGAGGATATGTTTTCATTGGTTTTTAGAGAGAGGAAGGGAGGGATGGAGGGAGGGAAAGAAAGAGAGAGAGAGCCCTAACCGGTTTGGCTCACTGGATAGAGCGTCGGCCTGCAGACTGAAAGATCCCAGGTTCGATTCTGGTCAAGGGCATGTACCTTGGTTGCGAGCACATCCCCAGTGGGAGGTGTGCAGGAGGCAGCTGATCGATGTTTCTCTCTCATTGATGTTTCTGAATCTCTATCCCTCTCCCTTCCTCTCTGTAAAAATTCAATAAAAATATATTTTAAAAAAAAGAAAGAAAGAGAGAGAGAGTAATAGAGAAAGAGAGAGGGAGAGAGAGAGAAATGTTGATGTGAGAGAGAAACATTGATCAGTTGTTTCTGGTGCACACCCCGACCAGGAACAGAACCTGCAACCTTTTAGTGTACAGGAGATGCTCCAACCAACTAAGTAACCTGACCAGGGCTTCACTCATTCTATCTAATAAAAGACAAAAAGGGTAATTAACCATACTTCCACTACGCTTCCCATTGCCTAATCAGGGCGATATGCAAATTAACTGCCAACCAAGATGGCGGCCAGCAGCCATGCAGCTGAAACGAGCAGGAGACTTGCTTGCTCCAGTGATGGAGGAAGCCAAGGTTCCTCGCCTACCGCAACAATGTTTCAATTATAGAAGCTAAACAAATCCCAGATACCTGCTTTCAGCTGGCCGCGGCCTCAGAGCTGGTAGCGCCAGTGACAGCAACAATGTTTCAATTATAGAAGGTAAATAAATCCCAGAAAAAAAAAAAGAAAAAAAGGAGAGGCTGGGAGCTTCAGTCCCGGCCAGCCTGAAAACGGCCCTTAGCCCCTCACCCAGACTGGCCAGGCACCCCAGTGGGGGCCCCCACACTAAAGGGGTGTGGCCAGCCTGAAAACAGCCATCATCCTCTCACCCAGGCTGGCCAGGCACCCAAGCGGGACCCCTACCCTGATCCGGGACACCCTTCAAGGCAAACTAGCCGGCCCCCACCCGTGCACCAGGCCTCTATCCTATATAGTAAAAGGGTAATATGCAAACTGACCCTATGAGTAGAAGGACTGGGAATGACTGCTCACTATGACACACACTGACCACCAGGGGGCAGACGTTCAGTGCAGGAGCTGCCCTCTGGTGGTCAGTGCACTCCCACATGGGGGAGCTCTTCTCAGCCACGAGCCAGGCTGATGGCTGCCAGTACAGCGGTGGTGGTGGGAGCCTCTCCTGCCTCCTCAGCAGCGCTAAGGATGTCCAACTGCAGCTTAGGTCTGCTCCCCGCTGGCAAGTGGACATCCGCCGAGGGCTGCCGGGCTGCGAGAGGGATGTCTGACTGCCATCTTAGGCCCAATCCCCCAGGGAGCAGGCCTAATCCAGCAGGTGGTCATCTTCCGATGGGTCCCAGACTGCGAGAGGGCACAGGCCGGGCTGAGGGACCACCCCCCCGAGTGCACAAATTTTTGTGCACCAGGCCTCTAGTCTATATATATAAAAGCCTAAGCGACTGAACGACTGGTAGACCGGTCGCTATGACACGCACTGACCACCAGGGGCAGATGCTTAACGCAGGAGCTGCCCCCTGGTGGTCAGTGCACTCCCACAGCAGGAGTGCTGCTTAGCTGACAGACAGGTGCCAGATGCAAGCCTCTCCTGATCGGGACTGACTGGGCAGGAGCCCACAGCAGGTGCAGCGGGGCCAGGCTGAGATGAGCAGGAGCGGCAGGCAGGAGTGGCAGGTGGCGTTGGACTGCCAGTTTCAGCCCAATTCCCACAGGCCATGCCGAGTGCATGAATCCGTGCACCAGGCCTCTAATAATTACGTAAGTAAATAACATTTATATAGTGGTTTTACTTAAACGTCTACTTTCCTACACATTATCACAAATATTCTTCATGACAATTTCATGAAGTGGGTATTATTAATGTCCTCATTTCTCAGTTAAGACACCAGTCAGGGAAGTCAAGTCTTTCCCAAGGTCACAAAGAACAAATGCAAGAGCCAGAACTTGAACCAAATTCTTCTCACTCTAAATCCTCATTTTGGGCACTGGTAAAGGATAAATACTAAATTTTTAATCATTTTTATTTATTTCAACTCAAGTTGAACTGTCAACTCAAATTACTAACACATTCTGAAATATGTTTATCTTGGTTCCGTTTAGGAATTTTCACACTGAGGTAAGAGATTATGAATTTCTCCTTTATCTTTGGGTTTATAGTGCCCTTTTTTTTACTCCTGACACACAGCAGGCACCCAATAAATATTAATTAAATTGAATAAAATATGTTTTTCAAGCAGTGCCACAGAAAAGACAGTCCCTATATTCAGGCTCCCTATTAAGTTCTATTTTGAAAAGAGAGTCAAGCCATTCAGCTATAAATGGGTGTGAGGTGATCAAGGGGATCCTTGGAGAACTGAATTCTTTTCTCTGCCCTTTCCTCACATTTCTTCTTGGGCATTTTACAAAGACATGCTTTTGCTTCCTCTAAGGAAACCTCCCTACCTGCCATAATATTATTACTTCTAACATGAGAATGTATTTTTTCAAAATAAGGTACTTACTCTCCGGATCCATAAAGATTTCCATAGGCACTGGAGTCATTACAACTCTGCTCCTGATTCTCAATGGTATAATTAGATTGGTAAAAATCAGAGTCAAATTGTCCCAAGTTTGACATCCTGAAAAATAAGAGTATTTTTTACTGAAAAGTTTACAAGTCAATAAAACATCTTTTGGGATATTATAAAGACTGACATGTGATGACAAATGGGTTCTTACCAGAGAACACTATATTCTTTGCATGGGGTAGACTGAGTATTGGGGGAAGGATATGGAAATGTGTTCTAAAAAGTAATTTACAAAACATGTATCTGCAACGAACTTTTCTGAAGTTTTCATTCACCAGGACTATGACTTTGCCTAAATTGATGTTAATTGATCTGAAGAAGCTAACATTTCCCCCCAAATACCTTCTTCTCAGCAGTTTAAGAGAAAAAGCCTAAGACTTGGTACACATCTAAAGGTTTTCTTTTAAACAATGTCAGTTCCTTATTTCAATTATTACTTATAAGTAATAATTTACATTTAAAAGTTTTACATTTAGGCATATATATATATATATATATATATATTATTGTCGCAAAGTCGAAAAGCAAATGACTGATAATAATATTTGCTTTTTCAATAATAATAATATTTATTTTTTCCTGTGCTAACAGCCTCTCCACTCCCTTCTGGCTGAGTCAGAGGGGAAAGGCTCAATTCTGCTAAGAAAACAGTCTGTCTTCCTATAAACTCTCTACATAGTTTCTACTCACTTTGGAGAGAGAAGGGAGTACATGATCTTGATTTAGACCTAACAAATAGACATATCAGAGGGAAGAAGAAAGATTTGAGAGGAAGAAAAGGTAGGGGAAGAAATAAGAGCAAAGTAATGGTGGCTCTTTAGATGAAAATTAGAGAATGGAGTAGAGAATCTTTTCAATTGGACAGATGTGGTTAATCAATTCAACATTTTAATCTTTGCTTTTCTTTGAAAAACTTTTCATTTCAAAATAGTAAATTTTAAAATCACTAGCAGTAATCTATATAGTTATAGTAATTTGTGGAATAATACTTGCAATACATTTCAAATGCATCTCATAAACAGCCTTAGCTCTAAGAGCCTCATTAATCAGAAATACTCAAGCACAATTGTCAAATATATAAAATTTTCTCACTTCAGTACAAGTACAGAAAGCTCTGTAAAATTAGGTGCAGTGATTCATATACCTGATTTAATAAATCAAGATTTTTTTCATTAATATTGAGCATAAAAGTAGCTATAAATTATGTAAGCTAAAATCAGGACTCCGAGGATGTTAAATATTTTAACAACTTATAATTTAAAGAATTTAAAATTTAATAGCATAACTTTCTCAGTCCATTAAAATGCTATTATAAAGCATAGAGAGTAATTTCACTGGAGAATACACGTAAGTTTTCATAACATGCAAAGCTTTATGTAATATCACTATTGGCAATAAAGTCCTTACATAATCCAGCTTTATATTTTGTTTAAATGCCAAGGTTTTTTAGAAGGATCAGACACATACCTTTATATTATTTTATGTCGAAAAATTCTCCAACAAATGTTGCTCTGCTAGAGAAATTTATAACAAACCAGTTTGTGAAAAGATGACTGGCTGGTTATATATATGTTTCTAAATTTGACTCTGACACTGAACAGATGCTTGCCAAAAGCCAAAGCCAAACACAGTATCTTATTACACTTGTTACAGTTTACAAACACAGTGAAAGCCGAAGAAACACAATTTGATGAAGTGAAATGGTAGATTCCGTTTCCTTGTGGGCACATCCCACAAGGAAACGGCACTCTGACTTAGGATCATTTATTTGAGGCAAACAATGGAAGGTAAGAGGAAAACCCTTGAGCTTTACTGCCTATAAGAATAAACCTAGACAAGATTTCCTAATAATATGCAATACAAATCAATATATGGGTAAAAAAAAGTGAAGGAATTGAGAGTACAAATTATTTGTTACAAAATAGCCATTGGGATGTAGAGTATAGCATAGGGAATATAATCAATAATAAGTAAGGTGTCTGATGGGTGTGAGATTTATCAGGATGATCACTTAGTAAGTTATGTAATATCTAATCACTGGGGTGTACATCTGAAACTAATATAATTATATATGTCAACTGTAATTGAAAATAAAAAAATGATAAAATATATATACACTAGAGGCCTGGAGCATGAAAATTCGTGCACTGGAGGGGGGGTCCCTCAGCCCACCTGCGCCCTCTGGCAGCCTGGGAGCCCTCAGGGGATGTCCATCTGCCAGCTTAGGCCTGCTCCCTGGGGGAACGGGCCTAAGCTGGCAGTCAGACGTCCCTCTGGCAGCCCAGGAGCCCTCAGGGGGAGCGGGCCTCAGCCACAGTCAGACAGCCTTAGTGCTGCCATGGAGGCAGGAGAGGCTCCCGCCACTGCTGCTGTGCTCGCAGCCATTAGCCAGCTTGTGGCTGAGTGGAACTCCCCCTGTGGGAGTGCACTGACCACCAGGGGGCAGCTCCTGCATTGAGCGTCTGCCCCCTGGTGGTCAGTGCGCGTCATAGCGACCAGTTGTTCTGCCCTTAGGGTCAATTTGCATATTACCCTTTTATTATATAGGACTAGGGGCCCGGTGCACAAAAATTTGTGCACTGGGGAGGGGGTTTCCTCAGCCCAGCTTGCCCCCTATCACATACTGGGAGCCCTAGGGGATGTCCTACTACCTGCTCCCTGCTCCCCTTGGGGAGCGGGCCTAAGCCACAGTCTGGCCTCCCTTTGTGGAAGGCGACCGGGCTGATCAGGGGAAGGCAACAGCCCCATCACCCCGCTGCTGCAGCCACTGCCAGTCACCGCAGCCACCAAGGTGTTTTCATCAACACGGACTCCAGTCCCTTTACCATGAAAAAATGACAACTTTCTTTAGGCATTTTCAAGAAGTGTCTTTCATAGGATATGACATTTCTTTCTTTCTTTATCCTCACCTGGGGATATGTTTCCATTGATTTTTAGAGAATGTGGAAAAGAAAGGGAAAGACAGAGAGAAACATCAAAGTGAGAGGAACACTTTGATTGGTTGCCTCCTGCATGAGCCCTGACCTGGGCCAGAGCCAGGGAGGAACGTGCAACCTAGGTACATGCCCTTGGTCAGAATTGAACCCAGAATCTGCGTTGGGCAGGCCGAGGCATTATCCACTGAGCCAAACTGGCTAGGACAGGATATGACATTTCTTAACCCTCCAGCAGCAGACCTTCATTTTTTTCTCCAGGAGTGTGGTAAAAAAAACCCTAGATCACTTTTTGGACTCTTATTACCCAAGTTACTAAGAATATTACCAGTGGCATACAGAGAGCTTAACCAATCAGAGGTCAGAAAAGGTGTTTCCTCTGTAGTTCACACCAATTGCTGGTTTGGCCCCTGCCCAGGCCTAACGCCTCTGGCGAGTCATTAGCCCTGGGCCAGGGCACCCTCAGCTCCAAGCCACCGTGGCCATCAAGGATCGCTGGCTGGCTGCGCCCGGGTTCGGGCCGCCACCACCATCAAGGATCACTGGCTGGCTCCTCCCCGGCCCAGGCCTAAAGCCTCTGGCCCAGGCATTAGGCCTGGGCCGGGGCACCCCCAGGTCCCCGCCACCGCAGCCATCAACGATCCCTGGCTGGCTCCTCCCTGACACAGGCCTAAAGCCTCAGGCCGAGGTTTTAGGCCTGGGCATCTTGCCGCCGTGGAAGATCGCTGCTGGCGGGCTCCTCCCCGGCCCAAGCCTAAAGCCTCTGCTCGAGGCTTTAGGCCTGGGCCGGGGCACCCCCAGCTCCCGCCGCAGCTGATCGCTGGCTGGCTCCTCAACGCCCCAAGCCTAAAGCCGGCCGCCATCTTGGCTGACAGTTAATTTGCATAAGGATATGCTGATTAGCCAATGGGAAGGGTAGCGGTCGTACGCCAATTACCATGTTTGTCTTTTATTAGTGTAGATAATCTTAACATGATGAACTTAGCAACTATCTAAAAATATATGTTGTCAATTTTATCCAAATCTGAACTATTCAATTTATATAAACAACATTTAGGAAAGCTAAATGCAGTGGGGATAAAGAAAATAATCTCCATTTGTAATTTCTTAGATCTCTTTGGTGACCTGTAAAGTATTGAAGAGATTGTGAGTTGATCAACAGCTACATCTGAAACAATTTGCCCTTTGTCTGACAACAATACATACATATATGTATTAAAGGATGAATGGTTAGATGGATGAATGAATGAACACTATTTTCAATTTTGCATACTCAGAAACCCATATTTCTATTGGCATGGACCAATCTAAGAATCATATAAAATTATTACTTTCATTACTGCAATCTTTTGATATGAAACTAGAGGCTCAGAGTGGCTAAGTGACTTGTGCAAAGTCACCCACCTAGTATGTGACAGAACCCAGTTTGGAGTAATAATGATCTCATTCAGCCCAGTTTCCTTTCATTATGCAGACTGTTTCTTCCAAAAGACTACCTATGGCTGTCCAAAACACTGGTGTTAAGAATGTACCTGTTTGGCCCTAGCTGGTTTTGTTCAGTGGATAGAGCATCGGCCTGCAGACTGAAAGGTCCCGGGTTCAATTCTGGGCAAGGGCACATGCTCAGGTTGCGGGCTTGATCCCCAGTGTGGGGCATGCAGGAGGCAGCTGATCAATGATTCTCTTTCATCTTTGATGTTTCCATCTCCCTCTCCCTCTCCCTTCCTCTTTGAAATCAATAAAAAATATACTTTAAAAAAAGAATATACCTGTTTGGAAACACAAATAATATTTATTCACAAACTCCAATACATATTTTCAGCTGAACAAAGCTGCCAATGAACCAAGAGAAAAATGTCATCATTTTCTACCTCTTCCAACAGAGAAATGGCTTTTTACCAGTGTTTAGATAGTAATTCTTTATTTTGGCAATCTGTATTGCAATTTAATGTACATTGATTCTTAAATTTCTACTTATATTAAGACAGAAAAAATGCACTACATTCTGTGTTCTAATAATTTAAAAAAATACATTTTTGCCTGTATTCTCTACATAATCCTTTGTTAATACTATGTAAGATTTGTTCCCAATCATCTGACCTTTAAAGACTACGGTGCTTCTATTTCACGAACCTGAAACTGCAGCCCTGAATGTTACACAGTTACATGAAAAATGGGCATAAAATTCTGTTTTAAGGCATGAATTTTAAAGAGCTTACTGTGTTCTATGGCAAGGAAAAAATAAAATTACAGGGTTTCCATCATTAATGCAATCATAATTATCTTTGACTTCTAATTTGCTAGCTTTCACTTTTGTCTTAGAAAAAAATGGAATATAACAAATTATGATTTCAAGTTTTTAGCTTGGTCATTACTGAATGTTAGTAAAAACACAATTTTCCTTAAAGTTATGAAAGTCTATGTGAGCAGTAGTTGAGTTGTACATTGTTAGTAACCATATTGTTATAATAATCATTTTTAAATGTAATAAATTCAATTTATATACATTTAGCAGACTCATATCACTTATTTCTATAGAAAATCTTTCCAAGAAGTTATATAAATTCCTTCACAATTTTTCTAACCACATGTATCTTTAGTTCCCTCATTTATAAATAAGAATAAACTTTATACCTAACTCCTAGGGACTATTTATTTTATCTTTATCTCATCAACTGAATTTTATTTTTCCACATGTTTCATAATATATCCAAATTATTAATTAATGTATATCTTATGTCTGTGTATATATATGTGTATAAAATATGAGAATTAGACAGGATTTTGCAACAGGAGCAATTAACCTAGTGGGGGCAAGTAGTAAATATTCAAAATAGTGTTATCTATTTTGATTATGCTTCTAGGTGAAAACAAAGTTGTATTAATAACAAGTGTGAGTCCTTATTCACCCATTATTTACACATAAATATTTCTTAGTGAACTCTACTTTGATATTACATAAATCTATATGAAAAATTATCTTACCAAAGGAAGCAGGGGGGAGGATTTTTTGCAAATGCTGTGTCCTGTAAACAGATTGTGATGAGACATAAAATACTTCTTCAGCATTCATCTCTTACTTTTTAATAAAAAAATAATAATAGACAGGCTAAGAATGGACTTTATTGCCAAGATACTACTTATTATTTTGACCAAACTCCCATAGATACCAGTTAATATAGATGAAATTATATATTGGCTTTATTACTTTTAGCAATGAAAGGTGAAATTCTTCTCAATGCTCTGCCATAATTATACCTTTGCAATTATGCCATTATTAAGTTTTTTCCCAAGGCATGCCAAGTTTAACTTGAATATTTTATTATATTCAGTGCATGAAAGTAGTTACAGCAGTTTGGAAAACAATGACCAGCTGTCAATATAGAAATTCTATTTAATAAGACAGTATTCCCATCTTCTTTTGGCACTATAATCTCACTAACTACTTAAAGCTTTGAGTTTTAACTTAATGGGACATTTACTCAAACATTGCCTTGATATAGAGGAGCTCTTTTAAGGGTAACTCTCTACTCTGTAGTATTTACATTTTCATTTACAAACATGAGCTAGGGAAAGTAGTGGACAGAGTAACAAATAATTTTTTAAAATATATTTTTATTGATGTGAGAGAGAGAGAGAGAGAGAGATCAATGATGAGAGAGAATCATTGATTAGCTGTCTCCTGAACTGCCCCTTCTGGGGATCAGCTGCCTCCTGAACAACTCCTACTGGGGATCAGGCATGTGCCCTGACCAGGAATTGAACTGTGACCTCCTGGTTCATAGGTCGACAGAAACACTGAGCCACACCAGCTGGGCAATTTCATTTTCTTTTTAAAACAAATTATTGGGTATTTCGTTTAAAATGGCACTAGGCTAGAAATTTGCCTGACAATTACTAGAAAAACACTTAATGGGGGTTTATAAGATAAATCAATCCACAATCTGAAAAACTAATCCTTGGAATTAACCTACTGCCAGAATCTGGGAAAATTTCTATGATAAAAATAATGAGTCTATAGTGAGAAAATGATTTTTGACCATCATATTCTTTCCTTTATGCAGAACAGCTCGCTTATATGAAAAGAAGTAGTGCGATTTAAGACCTCTGGAGAGTTAAGTTTTACACTAAATAGAAGAGAGAACAGCTGTCCCTCTCCTGTAAGGATGCTGCTCTTATAAGTATCAGTGGAATAACCCTGCCACCTGCTCCTGTGTTCTCATATATTTAGAGAAAGTCAATCCTAATGGAAAGGAGGATGGTGAAAGAAGATATGGGGAAGGGGCTGGCTGAAGGTTCTTGCTAATGATGGCTCTGTGCATCCTAAGAACTGTCGCTCCCCCCCATGCTGCCCTTCCTAGAGTCAGAGACAAGAGGCACCCAGTGACAATGTATAACGAGGAAATAGAGCTCTTCATGCGCCACACTACTTCACTCACTGACCTGATGGGAAAGATGTGCAGCATGACACAGCGGAGCATGGAAACTAATAGAACTACTATTAGCACTCATTCTTATGTAATAAGAACAAAAACATTACGCCTTGCTACTATAGTTTACACATTTATACTGTACTCTCCCTGTTGGTCAGGCTTTATCTGCAGTGTTTGAGGTCCTCCAGGCAGAGTGGGAGCCCACAACTTGGAGAGGTTGAGTGGTGCCCATTTTCATACCTTCCCTTTTGTGCATGTCTTTTTAAAAATACAATTTTATTGATTTCAGAGAGGAAGGGAGGAGATAGAAACATCAATGATGAGAGAGAATCATTGATCAGCTGCCTCCTGCACACCCCCTACCGGAGGTCAAGCCCACAACCCGGGCATGTGCCCTTGGACCAGAATGGAACCTGGGACCTTTCAGTCCACAGGCCAGAGCTCTATCCACTGAGCCAAACCAACTAGGACATCCCTTCCCTTTTGTAGGACCACAAGGTAACATGAGTGCCCTTTAAATGGAGTTATGTATTGGATCTCCTTAACCTAAATTCCCCTCACAATAAGCACACATACCTTCTAAATCAAATTCAGAGTCAGAAAACAGATGAAATGAAAAGACAATGGATTAGAAAAAAAACACGAGCAGGAAGTTGACATTAAACGCGGGTAGAGTTTGCCCTGGCCGGTGTGGCTCATGGTTGAGCGGGGACCCACGAACCAGGAGGTCACTGGGGTGATTCGGGGTCAGGGCACATGCCTGGGCTGTGGGCTCCATCCCCAGGAGGAGCCATGCAGGAAGCAACCCACTGATGTTTCTCTCTCTCCAGTGTTTCTATCTATCCCTCTCCCTCCCGCTCTCTCTAAAACATCAATAATCATTAAAAAGTACTTTTAAAAGTCAGCTTTCTCTAACAAAGGTGCCAGTAGCGATTACTAGTGGATCGAGTACTGTACAGTCACGACTTGGAGCAGTTCCAAGAACCGACGAGAAACAACACAACGGCCCACGGGACGTCCCACAGCTTCTGTCTCCGTCCTGGGCACCGAACCCCAGGTCTCGCAGAAAACCCCACGGGCGCTGGTGGGAGACAGACGCTGGAGCCGGCATGCAGGCCTCATTCCCTCTTACACTTCTCCTCCGCCTTCCGGAGCCCAGCTCTGCCCTCTGCCAGACAAACTTGTGTTGAAGCGGAAACTGAAAGACGATGGAGACATCAGGGCATGCAGAGGGTAACTTTCCCCACCTTCACTTCCGGCCCAAACTTTCTTAGGACACATTGCAGTCATTTTACCGCCGGTTTCCTTTCAGAAGCGCTAAGATATTAGCGATGTCACTGATAACATATTTAGACTTCCATATTTTAAAACAATTACAATATTTTGCTACGGGGGTAGAAAGCTAAATCCGAACGCTACGCTAAGAGCATAGTGAGAACTGATCTGGAGAGCTTCCCCTCACCGGACGTCCTGGCGCCCCGGCGCCCTCGCGCAGAGGCACGCTAGCGTCGTGACGTCATCCGACGTGCGGACGTCGGCGCGCGGCGCTCCGTCTACGGAGTTCCGGCGGATCCACCAGTTGGGCGGTCCTGTCCAGGCACCTGGTCCCCTTGGTTTCCGAAAGTCTGGTTGGATCCTGTTCGCCGCCCCTAACGCGGCGTCTTGGAGGAAACCGAGCGGCTGGCGATGCTCCCATCGCGCCTCGGGACCTTCTCCTGACGCCTGCGTCGCCCGGGGGGATGCGGATCCTGGCGGGTCGGGGCTGGTGGCGCGGACGCGCGCTCGCGGCGTGGGCCACCGGGGCTGCGGATCGGGCGCTGCCTTGGGCTCCGGGCGCGCGGACCGGCGGGGCCGCTGGCGACTCCTGGGCTCTGGACAGGCTCTGCAGCTCTGCCGCGCGCAAGGTGACCGCCGCCTCGGTTCTGGCAGCTCCGTGTGAGAAACCGGGAGGGAGCTTCCCGAGGGTTTGGAGGCGGGAAGGGCTTCCTAGGACTGACGGCCTGTCCACGGCCTGACGACGCGGGTGGCGACCCCGCGAAGGAGGCGGAGCGGGCCGTACGCGCTGCTGCGGTGTCTCAGCTCCCCGCCTCTCGCCGGTGACCTTGGACCAGTCACTTCCCATGTTGCCTCCTTGGTGATGCGGGTAGCTCAGTTTATGGGAGGCGGTGAGCTAGACGCCTCGCATCTCTTCCTTTCCTTGGAAAATCCTGCCGAGGAAGCTCAGGCAGCGGTTCTCAACCTGTGGGTCGCGACCCCTTTGGCGGTGGAACGACCCTTTCACAGGGGTCACCTAAGACCATCCTGCATATCAGATATTTACATTACGATTCATCACAGCAGCTACATTACAGTTATGAAGTAGCAACGAAAATAATTTTATGGTTGGGTCACAACATGAGGAACTGTATTTAAAGGGCCAGAAGGTTGAGAACCACTGTCAGGGTGAGCTCAGTTTCCTTGAAATGCATTAGCCCTGCGACCTGGGCGAGCCCCTCGACCCTCCTGTGAATGCTGCTGCATTGACGACATGAGACAGGAATAAAAAACATGGAATGCCCGTTTGTGAGGATTGCAGGAGGGAAGGCAGGGAATTTGTAGTCCAATACCTAGAATGTAAGCAGTGCGAGGCACGCCTTGGCTTCGGCGGGGTCACTGTGTTTTACCGCAGCCGGAGCGGACCTGTGTCCGTCGGGCTCTGTCCCTGTGATGGAGACGGTGGGCGCGGGTGAGCAAGTCTGAAAAACGACGCTGTCCGATAACCGTGGGGAGAGAGAGTTCAGACGGGAAAGTTATAAGTAACTGGGGGGAAAAATAAGACTTAAAATTAGCCAGTCTTCCCCATTTCTAAAATGACTGTGGAATTTAACATTTCTAAAATGTGGAATTTAAAAAGAATTTGTGCCGCAGTTGAAAGTTCTTAAATTTGGCGAGGGAGGGGCATCCTACTTCTGTTTAGCCCACGCCTGTGGAACAATTTACACCAACCTAAGAACAATGAGGGGGAAAAAAGGTGTTCAATGTTCAGTTTAAAAACTAAACGAGAATTTGTTTGCCTTATCAGTATAAGACTCGCCGACAGTGGAGACAAAGTTAATATTAAACTTACCGGTGTGTCTCTTGAGTGGCGGGGAAGGGATCATACAGGGCAAACAGATCCGGTGTAGTTTTGTTTTGTTTTTGCAGAATTTCTTGCAGGCATAGTTGCACCGTTATTCTCTTTCTTGGAGCATTCATAACAAGGAAAGTTAAAGCTCATAAGAATGTTGTATTTCATTGTAATTTCATGGCACTTTGGGGGGAGCTGATTATAAAATAAACTGACATACTTTACTTGAATACCAGTTTGTTCAGCAGTTTGTAATGAGTCCTGGTAAAAATTTAAGAAGATGTGTGAACCTAAAAGTCGGGAGTTGTATTTTAAAATATTTTTGAATCTTAAGATATTAAATAGGACTTCTTTTTGCTGATGTGACCTTTCTCCCTCTTCAGGGAAGTTGCTGAGTAACAAAATTGTATCTAAATTAAACTTTTGAAGATTCTATTAGGAGCACAGATTTTTTTAAAAATATATTTTATTGATTTTTTACAGAAAGGAAGGGAGAGAGATAGAGAGTCAGAAACATCGATGAGAGAGAACCATCGATCAGCCGCCTCCTGCACACCCCCTTCTGGGGATGTGACCGCAACCCAGGTACATGCCCTTGATAGGAATCAAACCCGGGACCCCCCAGTCTGCAGGCCAACGCTGTATCCACTGAGCCAAACCGGTTTCGGCTGGAGCACAGATTTTTAAATAGACCTAACTGGTAATTAAATGTGTGATGCAGGCAAAGGATTTCATTTTTATCCCCCGCCCCCCCCACCCCCTAGCTTTTCTATAACTTTTTTTTTTTTTTTTTTGGCCTCAAAGAAGTTTGTTAGACTCTGTGTTCTTAGGCAGTTCATAAGTTCTAGATGTCTTGTGTTCTCCACCTATGAAAATAAATTCAGTTTCTCCTCGACCCTCTAAGTCAGTGGTTCTCAACCTTGGCTGCACATTAGAATCTTTTCAAAATCCTGATTTCTGGGCCTCATCCTCCGGAAATTCTGTTTCTTTGTTACTAATGTGGCCCCACCCCATAACAAAGAAACAGAATTTCCGGAGGATGAGGCCCAGAAATCAGGATTTTAAAAAGATTCCCAGGTAATTCTAATGTGCAGCCAAGGTTCAGAACCACTGCTCTAAGTGGTGGAAATACTATTAAGAACTTTTATTTAGTTGTGTAGTCACCTTTGACAGTAAAACATGTTTAATAAGTCATTATAATTCATTGCTTATGAGTTTAACCATATGTGACTTTATTGTTAGGGGAATAAAAAATATAAATAATATAGATGCGATAAATGAAATTTTTCAAAGAAGAATATTAAAAGAATATTCTTTGAATCACTATACTTGTTTCATATTGTATGAAATTTACACTCATAAATATAATTTTTCTCCCTCCTTTCCAGGAAAAAGTTGACATGTCTAGATTCCCTGTTGAAAATATTAGAAATTTCAGTATCATTGCACATGTGGATCATGGCAAAAGTACTTTAGCTGACAGGCTCCTGGAATTAACAGGTATTTTCATTTCATATTATATAGTTAATTGATGGCAATGAATAATTGATCGTTGCTTTTACCATGCTTTTTAAATTTTGTTTTAATTTTATATACTGTATTGTTTATTTTTAAGAGTCCATATAAAATTATGAATTTCTATTTATAGGGACAATTGATAAAACAAAGAATAATAAGCAAGTTCTTGATAAATTGCAAGTGGAACGAGAAAGAGGAATCACTGTTAAAGCACAGACAGCATCTCTTTTCTATAATTGTGAAGGAAAACAGTATCTTTTAAATCTCATCGACACACCAGTAAGTTTAATATTAATTTTGTCTCCATTGTTAGTGAGTCTTGTATTGATAATGCAAACAAATCCTTGTTTACTTTTTAAATTGAACGTTAAACACCTAACTTTGTTTTTTGTTTTCTCATTGTTCTTAGGTTAGTATAAATTGTTTCACAAGTGTGGGCTAAACTGAAGTAACCTTTTGTTTACTGTGGAGTCATTAGATTTGCCATAATGCCCCTCCCCCTAAAAAATTGTAGCTAACATTTAGAGGTATCAATATCTTTTGTTTTGCAGGGCCATGTTGATTTTAGTTATGAAGTATCCAGGTCACTGTCTGCTTGCCAGGGTGTTTTACTGGTGGTTGATGCAAATGAGGTAGGTACCTTTAATTTTATATCATGTGACATACTATTTGGTTGTTTCAAGATGTTTTCCTTAAAATGGGTTTTGGAAATACAATTTTTGTGTTTGAAAAAAATAAGATTTATTGTTTTACTTAGCCAAAATCATATGTTTTGGTCCTGTTAATTTGAAGTTTATTACATTAGAGTATTTTTTTGAAATTCATTTGTTCATCTTTTAACATTTTTAAGCCGATCAGAGAAATTGTCTAATTGTATTTTTTGTTGAAATAAGTCAGTTACATCCTACCAAAAAAAAACCCCTCAATTTTTAACAGCTCTTAATCTGAGTGTTCCATATCAGTTTTTAGCAGACGTTGAAAATAAATCTTTATTTTTGAGGTCATTTTGGGTGATTTTAAGGTAATAATATGAGAAGTGTTAAGTTTAAAGAAACATACTAATAACATTACCAACTTCTTTTGTGTTGTAAACATACCATATGAACATAGTAACTAAATGACCATATAAGAATTACGATATGTTATGTAAAATAAGCTTTTGCTATACTCAGTTTCTCACAAACTTTTCATTCAAAATCCAGAGGAAAGTCAGTCTCTACCTTATATACAAACTACAGGACTTTATAAACTGTATCACGCAGCTGCCCCATAGAATAAAAGCCTAATATGCTAAGCGTCTGGTCATCCAGTCAACCAATCAAAGCATGATATGCTAATGATATGCTAAGGCTGCTCAGCCGCTTGCTCTGACGTGCACTGACCACCAGGGGGCAAACAGTCGACTGGTTGACCCGCCGCTGTCAACGTGCACTGACCACTAGGAGGCAGACAGTCAACCTGTCGACCAGTCACTGTGATGTGCACGGACCACCAGGGGGCAGATGCTCTGACCAGTAGGTTAGCTTGCTGCTGGGGTCCAGCCGATCATGACTCAGCGAGACGAGATGAGCCCGGACACGCCCCTGGAGCCTTCCCACGGTCCCTACCCGGCTGGCCAACCTCCCGCATCCCTCCCTGGCCCCCATTGTGCACTGGTGGGGTCCCTTGGCCTGGCTTGCATGCTCTCGCAATCCAGGACCCCTCAGGGGATGTCGGAGAGCAGGTTTTGGCCCGGACCCCACTGGTGCACGAGGCCTCTAGTACCTATAGTAGGCTTTGATGACTTGAGGGTCTATGTTTCACCTTTGTGTCTCCAAGCCTAACATAGTCCCCTTTAATAAATGCTTCCTGAAGTTAAAGGAATTTCACAGCGAATATCCAGATGCATGGAAGTATAGGTACCATATTTTGTCTTATACCTCTGCTTTTGGTGAAGATGTGGAATGGTCTTGAATTATAAGTTTGTGATAGATGCTACAAATCCTGTGTCTTGATTTTTCCAGGGTATTCAAGCCCAAACTGTAGCAAATTTCTTTCTTGCCTTTGAAGCACAACTATCGGTAATTCCAGTTATAAACAAGGTAATTACAGTGACACAAAAATGTTATTTATTTCTTTACTTTGTAAACCATGCTTATTAAAGTTGTATTGCCTGTGCCTAGATTATTTTAATACTTTTGAAAGAAAAATCATAGTGGGGTCAGTTATGCTTTTAACTATCTCATAATGCTATTTAGTATGAAATACACTTTATTTGTATTAAATTAAGACATAATGAATTCTTTTTTTTTTTTAAGATAGATTTGAAGAATGCTGATCCTGAAAGGGTTGTAAAACAAATTGAAAAGGTGTTTGATATTCCAAGTGATGAATGCATTAAGGTAAAATACCTTTATTTCAAGACTTGGTTATAATTTTGAAAATCTGAGATAATTGGTCTAAATGAAATTTTAGAGTTTTTGATAGCCCATCATTATATCATGTTTTTATAGTTTTACCAAGTTCTTTTTACTAATATTTCATTTGATCCTTACCAAAAATTCTTATTACATGGTTAGGACAGATGGGAATTCTTGTGATACAGAAGAAAGAACTGGCTCAAAGATTTTAATCACTAAAGATTACAGATCTAGTTACCTAATATATGCCCATTTTGCCTCTATGGAAATATTTTCTTTGAAGAGCACGTTCAAACTAATTTTAAGGCATTTGTATGTTTTCTTGAAATTGAGAAATAACTTCTTTCTCTATATAAAAGAGCTAGCTATGGTAATAATTGTAGGATAGATATTATGTATGTCAAAGTTAATACTATATTTTAAATTTGAATTTTTATTTTTATTTATTTTTTTAATATACTTTTATTGATTTCAGAGAGGAAGGGAGAGGGAGAGAGAGATAGAAACATAGATGATGAGAGAGATCATTGATCAGCTGCCTCCTGCACGCCCCCTACTGGGGATCGAGCCCTTGACTGGAATCAAACCCAGGACCCTTCAGTCTGCAGGCCAACACTCTGTCCACTGAGCCAAACCGGCTAGGGCTAAATTTGAATTTTTAAATGTACTTTTCTAATGCTGTTTTGGGTGTTAAATAGCCACAGCCAAACTGCAGTGTTACATACTTTTGTAGTAAGTATGTCAATGCAACACTATAACATTTAGCTTCCACTTTTACTAAGTGGTAATGTGAATTTATGAGGGTATGCATTCTGAGACTTCCAGAAAGTGTTAACCACATAGTGAGATTGTGGTCATAAATTCACAAGAAACTAGCTAGACCATTTACTTTATTTTTCTCCAGTTATGTTAAGCTACTCTGTTTATAAGCATAGAAAAAGCATATAGTTGGATGCATTCAAAGTGGGGGTTTTACCATCTGCTTGTGATAGAGAATAGAAGGTGGTTGAACAGTGATTGTAAGTAATAGAGCTTGGAGTCTCAGCTGGAAAATGAGGGAGTGGAGGATTAATGGATAATTTTTAAAAGTAGTCCATTCAATGGATTAGAGGTTGTGATTTTGAAGGATTATTTAAACATACTAGAACCTAGAGAAGTGGTTCTCTTTAGGGTTTAGTTTTGCCCCCCAGGAAGCATTTGGAAATGTCTGAAGGCGTTTTTTGTTGGGGGAAGTGGGGTTGCTGCTGACATCATATTGATAGATGAGATTTCATGGATACTGTTAAACATCCTATGATGCACAGTATATGCTCCCAAACAGATTTAGCCCAAACTGTCTTCATTGCTGAATTGCAAAACTGATGTACAGGAAATTTGGAAGATAGGAGGTGGTATTCAGGAAATGGGTTTTGAAATCAAGATTTCAGAGACAGTCCAATTACTGATAATGGTGAAGGTCATTCATGCACATGTATTTTGAGTCTTTTGCTTTTTCAGTGTGAGAACAATAGTAATAATATGCTTTATAAGTTACCTGCATGCCATCCACATATAGTGTTTATTCTATCCACACAATAACCTTGAAACTTAGGCAAAATATGAATGATTATTCATCAGATGAAGAACTTGAAGCTCAAAGAAGTATGTATGGGTCAAAGTTCACTGCTCTTTCAACATCATAATCGGAATACTCTTGTAATTTAATCCAAGAGTCATAAAAACACCTAACTGTACTGGGAGGACATTTGTCAGTATCCTATCTAATAATAGACAAACATGGTACACTGGGGCCTTGACTTACGAGTGTCCCGACTACCAAGTTTTTTGAGATACTAGCCGTCTCTCGGCCGATTTTTTGCTTTGAGTTGCGAGCTAAAATTCAGGTTACGAGCCAGCTTCAGATACCCCACTGCTAGTTGGTGCAGTGAACGTCACAGTGAACGCCACAACATCAGCCAGCATCACATGTCTCACTCGTTCACTTTTGATTTGACATACGAGTAATTTGAGTTACAAACTCCATCACAGAATGAATTAAACTCGTAAGTCAAGGCCCCACTGTAATTGACCGTACCTTCGCTACGCCTCCCATTGGCTAATCAGCGAGATATGCAAATTAACCCAACCAAGATGGCGGCCGGCAGCCACGCAGCTGAAGTGAACAGGAGGCTTGCTTGCTCCAGTACTGGAAGAAGCCAAGGTTCCCCACCTGCTGCGGCCCGGCTCTGAGCTCCGAAAGCAACAAAATTTCAATTATAGAAGCTAAACAAACCCCAGATACCTGCTTTCAGCAGGCTGTGGCCACAGAGCTGGAGCGAGCAGGAGCCGGCTCTTAGCTCCAGTGACGGCAACAAAGTTTCAATTATAGAAGATAAATAAATCCCAGAATAAAAAGAAAAAAAGGGGAGGCTGGGAGCTTCAGTCGCAGGCCAGCCTGAAAATGGCCCTCAGCCCCTCACCCAGACTGGCCAGGCACCCAGTGGGGACCCCCACCCTAAAGGGGGTGTGCCCAGCCTGACAACAGCCATCAGCCCCTCATCCAGGCTGGCCAGGCACCCCAGTGGGGACGCCCACCCTGAAGGGGGTGTGAACAGCTGCAAACAGCCATCAGCCCCTCACCCAGGCTGGCCAGGCACCCAAGCAGGACCCCCACCCTGATCCGGGACATCCTTCAGGGCAAACCAGCCGGCCCCCACCTGTGCACCAGGCCTCTATCCTATATAGTAAAAGGGTAATATGCAAACTGACCCTAACAGCAGAAAGACTGGGAATGACTGCTCACTATGACACACACTGACCATCAGGGGGCAGATGCTCAACGCAGGAACTGCCCTCTGGTGGTCAGTGTGCTCCCACATGGGGGAGCTCTGCTCAGCCACAAGCCAGGCTGATGGCTGCCAGTACAGCGGTGGTGGTGGGAGCCTCTCCTGCCTCCTCAGCAGCGCTAAGGATATCTGACTGCAGCTTAGGCCTGCTCCCCACTGGCAGGTGGACATCCCCCGAGGGCTGCCAGAGGGATGTCTGATTGCCAGCTTAGGCCCAATCCCCCGTGGAGCAGGCCTAAGCAGCCCGAGGGGTCCCAGACTGCGAGAGGGCACAGGCTGGGCAGAGGGACCCCCCCCTCTGAGTGCACAAATTTTTGTGCACCGGGTCTCTAGTACTATATATTTGTGCTTCCTTCTACGATGATCTTCAAACAAATTGATAAGTGTTAGAATTCTTTCTTTATTGTGATCATAAAGTTCTGTCACCAGGATAGAAAAAAGGTAGAGTTTAAATTTTAAATGTTTGTGTTTTTACACATATATTTTTAGATTTCTGCTAAACTGGGAACAAATGTTGAAAGTGTTCTTCAGGCAGTCATCGAAAGAATACCCCCGTAAGTCTTTTGCTATTTCTGTACTGTTTATCTTTAATAGCACAAAAACCATCTGTTTGATCTATTATTTTAGCTTAATATATGTGGTAAATATACTCCTGTGGTGAAAGAAAATAAATATTTAAATTTATTTTTAGTAACATATAGAAGGCAAATATAGTATAGAAAAAAAAAGAAAAAAGGATGACAGGGATCTGTTCTTAACAATCATTGTAAGAAGGAGACTTGAATATATTAACAATTGTTCTTTGCTTTAATACAGAACAAATATATGTCATCAGTTTTATAAGTAATTTAAAACAGTCATTTATATAAAACTTGAGGTTAAATTAAAACTACTAGGTGTACCGGTTAATAATGTGGATCTTTTTCAATAGATGGAGTTACACATATGTTGATATATATATGTCATTTGATATGTATGCTATTTTGTTGTATTGACAACAAGCTTCAAAACTTCATATGTCAAATATGCTGAAGGTGTTAACATCATAGATATTTTTACACTTAAAAATGTTGAATTTCGTGCCAAAAAAAAGAGCATTTGCAGGAAGTTATAATTCATTACTTTATTTTGAAGAAAAGTGCTGCTGAATACTTCGGGAAGCTTATGGTGAACATACTCCATCTCAAGATACTGGTTTAAATGCTTTAAAAGTGATGATTTTGATGTGAAAGACAAAGAACGTCCAGGTCAACTGAAAAAGGTTGAAGACCAACAATTACAAGCATTATTGGATGAAGATGCATGTCAAACTCATAAACAGCTTGCAGAAAGATTAAACGTTTTTCAGCAAACAATTTCTGATCATTTACAAGCAATGGGAAAGATTTTAAAGGAAGGAAAATGGGTATCATATCAACTGAACGAAAGACAAATGGAAAACCAAAAAGTCATCAATAAAATGTTGCTTCAACGGCACGAAAGAACGTCTTTTTTGCATTAAATTGTGACTGGTGATGAGAACCCCAAACGCACAAAATCATGGGTTGATGGTCAACCATCAACATAGATGCAAGGCCAAATTGCTTCGGAAAGAAGACAGTGCTCTGCGTTTGGTGGGATCAGGAAGGTGTGGTGTTTCATGAGCTTCTAAAACCAGGTGAAACTGTTAATACTGATCGATATCAACAACAGATAATCAATTTGAACCACTCTTTGATCGTGAAATGACCAGAATGTTCCAGAAGACACAGCAAAATAATTCTGCTTCATGATGATGCACCATCACACACTTCAAAACCAGTTAAAGACACGTTAAAAGATCTTGCCTGGGAAGTATTAACCCACCTGCTGTATTAACTAGACCTTGCTCCTTCAGACTACCACTTGTTCCGAACGATGGCACACGCACTTTGAGCAGCACTTCAAAACATATGAAGAAGTGAAAAACTGGGTCTCTGAATGGTTTGCCTCAAAACAAGAAAAGTTCTGCCCTCGCCGGTTTGGCTCACTGGATAGAGCGTCGGCCTGGGGACTGAAGAGTCCCGGTTTCGATTCCAGTCAAGGGCATGTACCTTGGTTGCAGGCACATCCCCAGTAGGGGCTGTGCAGGAGGCAGCTGATCGATGCTTCTCTCTCATCGATGTTTCTAACTCTATCCCTCTCCCTTCCTCTCTGTAAAAAATCAATAAAATATATTAAAAAAAAACAACAACCAACCAAGAAAAGTTCTATTGGGACGGTATCCACAAATTACCTGAAAGATGGGGAAATGTGTAGCTAGCGATGGACATTATTTTGAATAAAGCACTTTTGATGTTTCTTTTAAATTATCATGTTTTCTTTGATTACAAAATCTGCATTATTAACCTGTACACCTGGTAATATAAAAATAGACATTACACCTTATTTTATAGAAAGATCTTTTTATGTTGGCTGTCAGTCATCAACCTTTCTTCAGTACTAGAATAAAGTAAGCATAGTATTTGAGTTAAAAATAGGCACTTTATTATTAAGATTTTAATTTACTATGTCTGTATTTACTTTTTACTTATTTTTAATAGTCCTAAAGTGCATCGCAACAGTCCCCTGAGAGCTTTGGTATTTGACTCCACCTTTGACCAGTATAGGGGTGTGATAGCCAATGTAGCATTATTTGATGGAGTGGTTTCAAAAGGAGATAAAATTGTATCTGCACATACTCAAAAGACATATGAAGTTAATGAAGTAGGAGTTCTGAATCCTAATGAGCAGCCAACTCATAAACTGTAAGTAATACACATTAGTAAATAAGTACAATACACTTATATGTCTATCTCATTCTTTCTCAACTTGATATACTTAGATTGATCCCAATTTGAAGACTCGGAAAAAAAACCAAAACCTGGTTATCTAAAGCACCTATCTAGTGAATGATCTTTTCAAAGGAATCTCATGTGTGAAGGATAATAATCTGATATATTTTTATTCCTTTTGACTAGTCATAACTAATTTTGTGACTCAGTGCAGATAAGGATTCTATATTGATGCATTCGTTGAGACAGCGAAAGACATAGTTCCTTCACCCATATCTATATTCATATCAGGCATCTTTTTGTTGTTGTTAATCCTTAGCTGAGGATATTTTTCCCATTGCTTTTCAGAAAGAGAGTAGAAGGGAGAGAGAGAAAGAGAGAGAGAAATGAGAGAGGGAGAGAGAAACAAACATTGATGTGAGAGAGACACATTAATTGGTTGCCTGCTGCACACACCCTGACCAGGGGCAGGGAGCAAACCCCAAACCCAGGTATGTACCCTTGACTGAGAATCAAAACCGAGACCCTTCAGTGCACTGGCTGATGCTCTAATCACTGAACCACACCAGCCAGGGCTTTTGAAATTTTATGTTTTATAATTAAATTTTTCAACATAAAAGTAATGAAGAAAATGTCATAATTCTTTTCTTGAGTGTGGAATTCATGATAGAACTTTGATTGACTAGAATTCCTGCATGTGGGGTTAGCAAGGTAGTTGCACTGGAAAAACTGAATTCTGAGTTCACTTTTAAATATGTAATTCTATCAGTACTCTAGGTCACCTAGTTGGAGCTTTCTATGGTCTTTGTTTCCTTATTTGTATAAAAATTAAGATATTGAACCAGGTGACTATATGGATCTCACTTGATAGTTTAAAGTTGTTTGTCTAAAACTAGCACATTTTGTTCATTACATTTTTATTTGAGAGTCATAAAGTAGTTTATCTTAATTTTACTCAAGTATTTCTAAAGTCTCTCTATATTCTACCATATATATCATATACTGATCATTAATTCGGTATTATGTAGATTTGCTTTTTAAAACAAACAAAAAAAAAACCAAAAAATTAAGCTAAAACTCTGAAATCTTTGGATTTGCTCTTTTTCTACAAGAGGAACATCAAATAGATGTCAGATTTGTTGCGAGTTCACTTTTTTCTGCTTGTTTTTTCTTTTTCTTCTTTAAGCATATTTGTAAAACAATACACTAATAGTGTTTTAATACTACAAGAAGTCTTTTATGTTTCTGCAACTATCAGTTTCACGGTGTTTACATTATATTTAGCTAGTGTTTAATATGCAAGCAAAGGTAGGCAGAGTCGTGAAAAGGCCCTGAGCTTATTGTTGGTAATGGGGTTTACTGTAAGGCATGGAGTGTTCTTCTGCTGATAATCCTAGAGTTCAGAATTGATATGTAGCACTTAGTTTCCATTTCATGAGGTTTTGTTTGGAAAGTGATCATTTCCTGGGAAGGTAGAGCTTATTTGAGTATGCACTTGAAACATTAAAGGAGTAAATATTTCCATATAATAATTTTATTTAGATATGCAGGACAGGTGGGCTATCTGATTGCTGGGATGAAAGATGTCACTGAAGCACAAATAGGAGATACATTATATTTACATAAGCAACCAGTGGAGCCCTTGCCTGGGTTTAAATCAGCGAAACCAATGGTATTTGCAGGTGAGGAGATCACAAAGTCAAAGGATGAGGGTCAACTTATTCTGTCAATTGAAATAAAATTTACTAGAAATGCTCATTTTAAATAACAGCTAATTCCAGCATATTCTTTTTGGTTTGTGTGTGTGTGCTATTTACATATTAGCTAATTTCATATGTATAGTAAAACTTTATGTAGGAGATAATTTCCTAAATTTTTTTAGGACTTCTTAAGAAACAAGTTCTCTGATATATGAAAGAGCATAGTAATATGAATTTCCTACTTATTTCCTTAGCAAATCAGGTCATTATATTTGAAATCTTTTACTAATGAGTTTATTACTGGGTACCTTCCCTTTAGCTGGCCTTTCTTTAATATTGTACTAGTGTAGATATGGCAGAGAATAGTGTCACCTCACATATATATAACTTTGCTACCTTTGATGACTGTGTGGAATTACAGATATTTGAAATAGGAAGACCTGATTGAAGATCATCAAGTTGCATCAGCCCTTGTTTTTCTCCCTTAAGTATCTCTCATTGCGGATGATGAACGTTTTTGATCCCCATGGTCAGGCAAAGTCAATCATTTGGCTTTTGAAGGACTTGAGAGTTGAGGACTTGAGTTGTCAGATGAAAGAGAATCTGATGAATCAGTAACTTTGTAGTTTTTGTTAGTGAATTGAAAAAAGCAAAATTTATCTTTGATTTTAATGGATAATCTGCCGTAGAGAATTCAGAATTCAGTGTACTTTTCATTTCTCCTCCTGTTTTTTATCTGTTAATGGAGTCTCATTTGTGGTTGTGGAATGACTTCCACTTTTGTTTCTTGAAATAAGCACAATGTGTTTTCCTAGGTTGGTTCTTTTTTGTTTTCCTGACATTTTTGTAAAATCATAAAAACATCACTTTAAGTATGAATCCAGTTATAAATTCATTAAGGCTATGAAACTTGCAAGATACTTTAAAGTCAGTGTAACTTAACATTTATAGTTTTTTTTAGCAAACAAATATTTTGGTGAGTGAAATATAAGTAAGTTATTTAAAAGCTAAGTGACTAATTGTGATCTTGGAAGCATTGGATATTTATTCCTTTGGCAGCTTTTCACATGTGATAATTAGAAATTCTTATGTCCTCAGGAATGTACCCTGTGGATCAGTCTGAATATAATAACCTGAAGAGTGCTATAGAAAAATTGACCTTAAATGATTCCAGTGTGACAGTTCATCGGGATAGTAGCCTTGCCCTAGGTGCTGGCTGGAGGTAAGATTCAACTACATTGTACCGTTCCACGTTTATTGAAAGGTAAAGTTTAAATGGTTTCTTGCTTTGGAACATTTCTGAAAATAAACTCATATTTGTGTAAAGTGAAATGAAACAATATCTGCCTATTTTACGCTGTGGATTCATCTTCTATAGGTAAGTTTTATAGCAATCTATACTAATAAAAGGGTAACATCTTATTAGACCGGATGTCCTTCCAGACAAAGCCACGGTGGCAGGGGCTGAGGCAGAGGTGGTTAGGGGCGACCTGGTCGGCAGGGGAGGGCGGTTGGGGCAATCAGCCTGGCAGGCAGAGGTGGTTAGGGGTGATCAGACAGGCAGGCAGAGTGGTTAGCGGTGATCAGGCAGGCAGGCAGGTGAGCGGTTAGGAATCAGCAGTCCCAGATTGCGAGAGGGATGTCCGACTGCCCGTTTAGGCCCGACCCCTGCGGCCTAAACCGGCAGTCAGACATCTTCCAAGGTGTCCCGGATTGGAGAAGGTACAGGTCTGAGGGACCCCTCTTACTGGGCACTGGGCCTCTAGTTTTAAATAGAATACCAATGGAAAGCTGGAATCTTACTTAATGAAATTATACTAACATGTAATTATGATGTGAATCACTTGAATGACTCTTATGATACCACTCCTTCCCCACAAAGTAACAATATATTCATCAAAGAAAATAGAGTCTATGAGACAAACATTTTGGAGTTTGGTTTTTTTCTTCCCAGATTGGGGTTTCTTGGACTTTTGCATATGGAAGTTTTCAACCAGCGACTAGAGCAAGAATATAATGCTTCTGTTATTTTGACAACTCCTACTGTTCCATATAAAGCTGTTCTTTCATCAGCAAAATTGATAAAGGTACTATTGTGAATCGGATAAAAGGGAAAACTAAATGTGTGTATATGCATATGCGTGTATGCAGAATGCAAGAGACACTTTGTACACCATTAGCAGACTAGCTATTAAAACTAAATATTTCTTGATTAATAGTAAGAAAAATTAAATTATCTTATGGTTAATGATGGAGAACCTACGTGAGAAATAATTTATGCAATCTTTTACTTGGTAAAATAACCACATTATCAATACTGATCTGTTACTGAATTGAGAATGAAAATATTGTTCTAAATCCAGTGCAAGATGATGAATATATTTTTGGTCATAAGTAATTAATCTTATTACAAATGAAGCATTCATTCTTACCTGGTGTAGGAAATTTTAGATTTTAAGTTAATGATAGGGATAATATTGTATTCTATCTAAGGGGCAATCTGTTTATTTTATAGAAATACTAACTTTGACAACTTTAAGAATTTTCCAACAAAATTAATTTAGGAAACTGATTATAATGCCTTATAAGGGGTAGAACAAAATGTATTCTTACATCAATGTGTTTAATAAATGTGAATCACCAGAATATATTGCTTAATAATATTAAATGATTACAGTTGGAGGACTTTTAAATCTAAAACACATTAAGATAATATTCTACTCTTTAGGGATTCCATTGTTTTTATTAATTCCAACAAATTCAATAGCAAAATAAATTCTAGCATACTTTAAATTAAAACATGGTTATTGTTTATTCAGATTTCATTGTAATTATTGGTGATATTTCTTTATTTTTAGGAATACAGAGAAAAGGAAATTACAATAATCAATCCTGCACAGTTCCCTGATAAATCAAAAGTAACAGAATATTTGGAGCCAGTTGTTTTGGGCACCATTATAACACCAGATGAATTTACTGGAAAAATAATGATGCTTTGCCAGGTATAAATGTAATACAGTTTAATATAAAAGTAAATTTTTGTCCCCTCTAGCAGTTTTGAAAGATTTCTCTCTGTGGAGCACATTGAATTTTATAATAAATTTTCATACATATATAGAGATATCAATATTTATCTAGATACATGTGGATATAGGTACATATGTACTTTAAAATTCATTTTGAGCCCTGGTCCAGTAGCTCAGTTGGTTGAAGCATCATCCCATACACCAAAAGATTTTGGGTTTGATTCTGGGTCAGGGCACATACCAGGTTGCTAGTTTGATTCCCGGTTGGGGTGCCTCCAGGAGGCAATTAATAGATGTTTTTCTCTCTCTCTTGCTCTCTCTTCCTCTCTCTTTCTTCTCTCTGAAAATCAGTTAAAAAAACATATCCTCAGGTGAGGATTTAAAAACATTTTTTTTTAAATGAGCCCAAAGAAAAGAAATTTGATGCTTATTTGTCCTGAGTAGATGAAAGTATAATTTCTTTTAGACTTGTTGAGTATTTGATATTGATTATAGTTTGAAATGTAATAGTAATAGTTGACAGACCTTTAATTGGACGGTGTTTTCCATTTTGCTTTAGTCCTCGCCACATTGTAATAAATGATTTATACCAAAAACTGGATATAATCATGGTCCTCAAAAAATACCTATTTGAAATACTCTGACATATATTAGAAAGAACTCTAAAATGATGACTAGTGGACTGAAATTTTAATTGTTATCACAAACTATATTATAACTTTGGTCAGTCACTTAATTTCCCTCGTCTAGGTTTCTTTATTTATAAAATAAGAAATTAGAACTTCATTTGTAGTTACATTTGACTTATTGTTAAATTAAGTACTGTATGATTAAAAAAGATAAAATTGTTAAATACAAAGACTAAAAGCTTTGGTGTATATTATAATTGAAATACAAAATGATTCTCTGTATTATAAATATTGCTTGCAAGTTTTAACTAGGCATTAAAGAAATATTCCTTCATTTTGTCCACTCATCAGCATTAAGGAAATATTTTCATTGGTAATTGTCATCTGTCTGTATTTCAAATCATCATTCAAATAGGCGATCATTAAACACATTTTTTTCTGCCCTATTAGGCTCGAAGAGCAGTTCAGAAGAATATGGTGTTTATTGATCAAAACAGAGTTATGCTTAAATATCTCTTACCTTTGAATGAAATCGTGGTGGATTTTTATGATTCTTTGAAATCCTTGTCTTCTGGATATGCTAGGTAAAAATTTAATGGGCAATTCAGGTACTTAAACAGTTGTGTGTGTTTTAAATATTGACCAGCAAGAGTATCTTATTACTCTTCGTATTTTGCCTACCACTTAACATGGTATCTTTTGTACAGTAAATGCTTAATGATGTTTGTTGAAGAAAGAAATGATTTTAGCAACACTTTAGGCAATAATCTGGTTTTAGAGAGTATTAATATCAATCACCCTGCAACCGTCATGGTTTAGAAACCAAAAATTTGCAGCTGTAGGTACCAGCTTGTTTTAAAATTATGACAATAGAAATATATATGTTCTTGTCCATTTGGAAAGACATGTAGGCATAATTGAGATGTTTTTTCATTAGACTGCCGTTTTGTAAGTTAAACCTGTGTTTTGATTAGCATGTAAGCTTTGACCATATTATTAATATTAATATTTGACACTAAGTGCTTATATGTGCTAGCTAGACTCTGTTGTAACACTTTTTAGATACAGTTTAAGTGCTTTACATGTATTAACTCATTTCATCCTCACAAAAGCCCTGTGAAGGTTCAAACTGAAATCCATAAGTCATTTATTAATGGCTCTTTGTCAATACCATAGCATTTATTTAAGGGGAAATAGAAAACTACACAGAAAATCTTATGAATCTGAGAAGGATCCATTAATATATACTGTTTACACCAGCCAGTTGCTGGGAGGGAACATTGGAAAGAAGGGGACATTTGCCTTCAGTGATCCATTTTCCTAGCCTGGCTTACTAGTTTCTTTTCCTTCCCCCCTTAGAGCATGCTCCCCTGCCTTTGACCCTCATCTCACAAAGTAAAAAGATGATGAAGTCTGGCCCTGTCTGGGTAGCTCAGTTGGTTGGAGTATCATCTGGATACTCCAAGGTTGTGGGTTCCATCCCTGGTCAGGGCACTGTAAAAAAAAAAAAAGATGAGATTTGTTCCTTACTGTGATCATTTAGATTCATTAATCTGGAATGTATAGGTAACATTTTGATGGAAAGTTAAATCTTTGGGGGAGGTATAGTAGAAAAAAAGATGTTTTGAAAAGAAAAAGAATATAATCTATTACTTGAACATTTTTCCTTGTTAGTTTTGATTACGAAGATGCAGGCTACCAGACTGCAGAACTTGTAAAAATGGATATTCTACTGAATGGAAATATTGTAGAGGAGCTGGTAACTATTGTACACAAGTAAGTAGAATAGAAACATCATGAAATGTGAAAGTAACCACTGTTGACATATTTTAATTTAGTTTTTGGTTGCTCTATTTGACAGCTACATTTTGAAAATTTAAAAGTAATTAAATTTCCCTGTACTAGTTTTTGTTTCCATTCTTTTTCCATGCTTCTCTTTTCAAATTGTTAAAATATAAAAGGAGACTAGAGTTATGATAATCCAGAAGATTAGTGTCCTGGGAAGAAATGTTTCCATTACCATGTAAGATGAAGTAAAAGAAATTTTTTTTGAATTTTATGATAGGTGTAGAATTGAGAATAAAAAGTTTTTCTCTTTCTAAGAAATTTATAACAATGAAAAATGAAATACCCTAGATGTTCAAGAAGTAGCGGATTGATTAAAATAAATTATGGAACACTCATATAATCTGTCTTAAGTCATTAAGACTAAACTTTAAATTACTATTTAGTGACATGAAAATGCCTATTAAGTAAAATGGTAGAACAAACTATAATCTGAACTGTAAAAATCAAGTCTGTAGAAAAATAACTAGAAGGGCATATGTTTAACATAAACATTCTAATATCTTTAACAGTGGTTTTGTATGGGTGAAGGGAAGGGCATTAAGAATGGTTTTTATTCTCTCATGTATGTTTTTTATATTTTCTGTAATCATGTTATTTTTGCAATAATCAGAGAGTAAGTGATAATTTGTGTTTATGATAAATGATTTCCATTTGAACCTCTTTAAGGAATCACCTTTACATTGATTGATTATGCATATGAACTAGAACATTACTTAAACATTCTTTTTTTTTTTACTTAAACATTCTTACTTAGTATAAGTAAATAATTTTCTCTGATTCAGAGACAAGGCACAAACTGTTGGCAAAGCCATATGTGAACGTCTGAAGGATTCTCTTCCTAGGCAGCTGTTTGAAATAGCAATCCAAGCTGCTATTGGAAGTAAAATCATTGCAAGAGAAACGTGAGTTGAATTCATTTTTGTTACTGGTGGGTTTTAGAAATGATATACCCAGAAAATGAAATGTTGAAAAATTTAACTTTACATTGGCCCAAGCCAGTGATTTTCAACCGGTGTGCTGCAAGACTTTTTAAAACATGCAAGCCTTGCTGGCATGGCTCAGTGGTTGAGCGTTGACCTATGAATCAGGAGGTCAAGGTTCCATTCCCTGTCAAGGCACATTCCTGGGTTGCAGGCTTCATCCCCAATGTGGGGCGTGTAGGAGGCAGCTGATCAATGATTCTCTCTAATCATTAATATTTCTATCTCTCTCTCCCTCTCCCTTCCTCTCTGAAATCAATAAAAACATACTAAACAAAACAAAACATGTAATACATTACTATTTAGTCAGGGGCACTGACCTCTTTTCCCTTAAGATTGTCAAATAAAAAATGGATAACAGCCAATACAACAATATCCATCTGGTGTAAGTGAAACAAAAGTAAACCTTTTGTGTGTGTGTGAGATCGACAAAAAATACATTTTTTGGTATGCTGCAGAATCTTAGTAATTGGTTTATGTGTGCCATGAGATGAAAAAGGTTGAAAATCACTGGCCTCAGCTTTCTTAGTACTTATAGAAACATTAATGTCTTAATTCCACTAACTTAAGTGATTGTTACTTTTAATTATATAACACTTTGGGGTGATATTATTCACATGTATTAATAAAATATATATGGGTTGGAGGAATTGCTTAATTTTTACTTACTTTACTGAATGATTATTGAGTTTCCTGGGTAAAGTTTTTATGGTTTTATCCCTTCAAGTAGATTATAAACTAGTAAGAACTGAAACTAAAAAGGTTTTGGAGATATTCTTCCAAAAGACAAAACTAAGTTATGATTTTTACTAGAAGCATTCCTCAGAGCTAATCAGGTTGTAAATCAGAGAGGTGAGAGAGGAATGCTAATCTCATGTTAAGCTTTTGCATTCTATAATACAGACTTCACATGTGATACCGGAGACATGGAAGATAGGCTAATTTGTATAGGAAATTGGTCTTTTTCATTGTACATGATGTATAAATCAGAGCATTGAAGAAGCTGCTCTGCTAGCAACAGAAAGTACAGAAAATATCTTGCAGTGATTCCCTATTTTTTCCCCCCTTGATTGAATAATTCTGGGAAATCAGAATTATCTCCTTACATGGAAATCCCTATTCAATTCTTGTTTAACACAAACCTAATGTATTAGTGGTGGTGAAATACAACCATGATTTTTATATAGTCTTAGAAACAAATTTTAATTCAATATTTGCAATGAATTTAGTTTTCTAACACCATTTTTCTTTAGAGTTGGTTATTTTGTGTTTTGTGAATACCTAGAAGTTAGATAGAAAGGAGTTGACAACCTGGGAACATCCTAAAAAGTGCAATTTAGATAGTTAGCAAGCATAAGGATGCTGAGGTAGACAATAAAGAAAGTACAGATTTTTATGTTTTATGAAATACATAAAAATGGAGCTATTTTCCAATTTCTTACTCTCCAAAATTCTCAGCAACATTACAGAAATGATTATAACTGCTTGGATGGATATATTAAAATTTAGTTTATCCTAATGTGGTAAACAAATATATTGTTCTTTATATTCCTAGTCACTGTTGACTCACATTAGGTGAAATTAGTAATGAAATAATAACCATTTGTAATTAATTTTTTTGAAAGTAGAAGTGGTAGTGCTTTTAGGTTGAGCCAGAAATGACCTTATATAATTCTTATAATTAAGGTCATCCCATGCTTGAATTTGGCTTCATCAATGCTACCCACAGTTTTGACCTTTTTTATTCTTAATAAAATATATGTTGGTATTTCGTTGAATTCATTTTCTATTTTATCTTAAATATATGAAACTAAAACAAGAGTATTTGAGCTATCTAATTATTATTTATGGCAGTTTTACCTAGGTCTGACCTGATCATTTAAATCTTTAATAAAGAGACTTTGAGAATAAAGTACTTTTAAATAGTGTAATGAAGTTATGTACTTATACAACATTTTCTCTTTTACAGTGTGAAAGCCTATAGGAAAAATGTTTTGGCAAAATGTGTACGTACCTACCTGTATTCTGCTTTGTAATAATAGTTCTGCTTTATGAGTTTAAAATTAAGGGGGAATACATATATTGGTTTCCATTGTTGGTTTTTGAAATACCCTTTTATTTCATCTCCAAGTTGTTTTTTTAAATTGGTAAATTTCAGCTTTACTATGATTGCATATTCATTTTGATTGTGTTCTTAAATATTTTTTATCTTATAAAAATTTCCTTATGTAGAACATTATCTAAGAAAGTATTTTATAACATGTTTGTTGATCTAATTTTATAAGGAAAGATTTTGAAGACAATGTCTAAATAGTGGGAAGAGTATGGGATTGAAATCCACCTCTCCATTGTTTTGCCAGGTTTGCTGCCTCATCTATTTAAAAAGTATTCTTAGCTCAGTTATTATGAGAATCAAATGATAATACTATTTCTAAACCCTTTGCATAGGGATTGGTACATTTATGCCTATGTAAGTTTCTATATTAGGCTACAGCTATAGATAGTAATCCAAAATTTCAAGCCTTGAATCAGTAAGGAGATTGATAGTTCTTCCTTGACATGGGTAATGTAGCACTGGGTGTCCTCGGGGATCTTCATCTCCATCCAAAAATAAATAAAGCCTTAATCATTCCTAAAGGCAGTAAAATTGGGGTCTGCTAGGAAGAGGACTAGAGAGGTATCTTTACAGATGTCTTCCTCATGGATTCATGGATAATAATTGTAAGGTTGTTGTAAGGATGTTGTATTGTTGTATTGATGTAATTGTATGATTATTTTTCTGTGGAGTGATCTGGACTTCCAATTTTTAAAATATTTTTCAGTATGGTGGTGACATTACTCGGAAAATGAAGCTTTTAAAGAGACAAGCAGAAGGAAAGAAAAAACTGAGGAAGGTTGGCAACATAGAAGTTCCTAAAGATGCTTTTATAAAAGTTCTGAAGACACAAACTGATAAATAATTGGTGCGAAAATATAAGGAATTTTTTTAAATTAAAAGTTGTGTATCCTTTAGTTTTTCTTGTAAGTTTGTAATATGTTGACAACAGAATGAAAATTATAAAATTTGCTTGTTACTTTCAGGGTTTTCAGATAAAACCATTTGGCTTTTCTTTGAAGGGTACTGGTAAGTGGATAAGAGCTTGGACTCTGAAGGCATAGTGTCTGGTTTCAAATTTCTGTTCCACCACTTACTAGCAAGGTAAATTACTTACCTCTCTTAGTCTGTTTACTCTTTAGTAAGATCAGGTTAAACTATACTTACCTCTATAGGTTGTTAAATGAGATAATATGGTGGAAATACTCAGAAGAGTGCATGGCACATAGTAAGTGCTCAATGAATCTTACCTATTTTGTTTTCATGCATACTTTTTCTGACACTAAGAAGGCCCCATACTTAAAAATCGATCTAATTCAAGACCATGGTAGAAATATTTTCAAAATCACCAAAAGTATCAATTTGTTGTTTGCTGGATAAATTCAAGTGATATAAGTCAATTATTAAGTAAAGTCACATAACATACTAACTAGATGTGCTCTAGTTTTTGATACAATTTTTGACACTGGATGGTTTATGTACAGGGTGAGGCAAAAGAAGGTTTAGTTTTTATGGAAAATAATACCATAATTATAAATAACTAGAGGCCCGATGCATGAAATTCATGCAAGAGTAGGCCTTCCTTCCCCTGGCTGCTGGCACCCGCTTCCCTCTGGCACCCCCGGGACCCAGGCTTCCCTCGCAGCCCTGGCTTTGTCCAGAAGGTCGTCCAAAGGATGTCTGGTCTAATTAGCATATTATGCTTTTATTATAGATAACAAGAATAAACTGTTTCACATAATCACAACTGTAAACCTATTTTTGCCCCACACTGTATACATCTAAGTTAAAATAAGGGTAGGGCTGTCTTATTTTTGATCATTGAAATGCAGTTGTGCAAAGTCATAGGGGTTTGGTATTAGCAGCTGTTATTAATGGCAGTTTAATAATTATTGTCTAGATTTCATAATTGAGACTGAGCTTTATTGCTTAGTAGTAACTCGAGGTCACACAGGCGGTAAATGACCATCTTACTTCAAAGCATGTCTCTTGACTACCATGTTTACTCAGTCAATGAACAAACCAGAGGGCAGATTATATTACTGTAGGTAAAATACAGTCAGACCCTTTAACAATGCAAGGGTTAGAGGCACTGATCACCTGCAGTCAAAAATCCATGCTTAATTTAAATTGGCTCTCTGTATATGCAGGTTCCAATGCGTTTAACTGGGAGGGTCAGTTGAACTGTACAGGCTAATTGAAAAAAATCTGCTTATAAGTGGACCTATCCAGTTCAAACCCAGGTTAAGAATCACATGTAATTTAGCTATTGATTTTTGTCCTCTTCCTTGACTGAATTGGATGAGGTAAATATCTTTGAGGGATAAGACTATCAATTTATACCATGGTTATTACATCATAATTTTGAGGTAGTGGGGATTTACTTAAAATTGTATATAAGGGTTAAAATAACTTGTAATTTAGTCTTAGTTAAATTAGCTCAGATATCTCGCCTCTCCTTTCTAGCTCTAATAAAATAGGTGAAATATGAGACACATGACAACAGTATTTTGGAAATGGCACTATATTTGAAACTAGAAAAGCATTTAAATAGAGTTTAAACAAAAGTGTTTTGTTCTATTAGGAAAAAGTTACATGTTATTGGGCACATATTCTGCACCACATATCTATTTGGTATTTGTGCTTTATTAGTATGTTTTCAATTTGGATACATTCTTTTCCTTTAACCTCTGACTCTTTAAAAAAATAGTTTTCCTGATAGCAATAAAGGTACAAAAAAGTACTTTTCAAAATTTTTAGCATAAGTTTCAGTTCTCTCCTTTGGCCATGCTCTCAAATAGATGATTTTCATGATTTAATGTTGTATACCTTCTAAGTATATCCCCCAGAGGATCTTAAATTTTCAAGAAATTTGCAAAGCTTGAAATATTATAAATTATGAGTATTGGAATGCCCATCATTTATTGAGTTTAATATGTGATAGCTACTGTGTTGAGCTCTATAAGCATTCGCTCATTCAATTTATGCAACAATCAAGGTACAGACACTACTACCATCCCATTTTATAGGGGAAGAAATTCAGACTTTGTATTGTCTGACATCAGTCATTGACAGCGCTGGAGTTCAAATAGTCTTTTCTCTATCTAATCTACAATTCTTAGCTACCGTGCTTTTTTACCTCTTATGGAAATATCTTCAATAGGTTTCTTAGTTCTTTCCTTAACAGCAGCTTAGCCCGAGTTAAGGAGCTAGAGTGGCCAGAAAGCAGTTTGCTGAGGAGCTTGAGTGCATGGACCTCACCTAGCCTCCTAATATCAGAGGCAGTAATGGGAAGATCTAGACTGTGTTTCCACTAACACATTTAAAGCACAGTAATAACTTGAACCATGCACCAAAACAGGTAGCTTTTTAACTAAGATACTACATGACCTTCTAAGGTAGTTAGGGTAGTTTGCAGTAACCAATACTTAACAGGTGTGACTAGAAGATGATACTGATTGAGTAGTCATTTACTAACCATTTGTAACACTTAAGGCTATTACAGCTTCATTTAAATCCATTATAGAATTAAAGCAGTATATTTTATCCTAACAGTTTTAGTTAACTTCTAATTTATTTGCTATTTAAGTTTTTTAGGAACTTAACTGTAAACGCATGTCAATCACAAAGGTGATTAAGTGGTTACATAAGTAATGCTTCTACTGGATGGGCTTATAACATGCAAAATATTCAGAGGAAAAGGAGCAAGATTAAGAGACTGTAGGCCAGCGGTTCTCAACCTGTGGGTCACGACCCCTTTGGCGGTCGAACGACCCTTTCACAGGGGTTGCCTAAGACCACCCTGCATATCAGATATTTACATTATGATTCATAACAGTAGCAACATTACAGTTATGAAGTAGCAACAAAAATAATTTTATGGTTGGGTCACAACATGAGGAACTGTATTTAAAGGGCCAGAAGGTTGAGAACCACTGCTATAGGCAGAGTTATTGTCTTTTAACTTAAATCTCCTAATTGCATGATGGTAACAAAAAGTTAAATAGGCAGGCTCAATAGCCACTACTAATTGTTGGAATCTTTCAGATGCATGTGTTTAATTTCACTTCTGGAAATAAAATTTAGATAACATTTGTTTATTATAAGCTTTATTGTAATTAAAGATAGAAAACAATATTTTTCTTTGATTTGCAGTTTAATGATACAAGTTTTT